AACCATATGTTTACATTTTTCAGTTATAGGTCGAATAAGCCCTGGTTGTTCATTGTAGCCTATAGCCTTTTCTGGGTTTCAAACCTAACAATTTGCCTCCTGTGATCTGAAAATCTCACATTGATCACCTTAGTCAAGCAGAGTGTCAGTCCAAGATCCAAAAAGACATTGTCAATGCATTTATTGCATCGAGTTGGAGTATATATAGTTTTAACCATATTAAAGCTCTCAAAAACATCTTGGAGCTTACGGGTAGATCAATTTTCAGTTAGAAATCAACATTGAAATTACATCAACAAGTATTGGCTTGAGTTTATTAAGTGTGATTAGTAATCCCTCTATGGATTATAAAAAATAGAACTTTTTACATATACAGCAGTACCTCCTCAGAGAGTCTGGGACCTGGCTGTAAAGCAATCCAGTTGATAACCTTAAATTGAAACCATTTGGATTTCCTCCTCTATGAGCCAGTGTTCAGCAATACAAAAGATGTCCACATTTCTGTCTACAGTGCATGTTTCTTATATGCCTAATTTGGTTGAGTGATTGTATGTTTAAGTGGGAAACGGTTAGATCCACTTTTTTGGAAGTTTTTGGGGATACCAGTAAGAGTTGACATTGAAGGTGGAATCCCATTGTTCAGTCTGAGTTTCTGAAAAAAATTGAATCTTACCACAGTCTCAGGCCACAGCTCAGGGTCCATGATTTAGTCAATTTTCTCCGTTTAACTCAAAACATTTTCTCCATTTAGTTAATTCTAATACTCAGTTTAAAGGAACCTAATTGTTTGCCTTTTGTAATCATTTTTTCGCATGTGCATTCAATTATATTATTGTCCTAATCAAATCATATTTATATGTCCTTAACTTTCAAAATGTAATAAAGTCAAAAATTTCAACTACAGAATTATTTTTAAATTTATTTTCATGTTTATCTACAAGGTTGATCTACTTCTTCATCTTTCTTTATAGTAGAACATATTTTTGTGTCAGCTCTAATATGAAATGTAGCTTAGTTCAACAGTGTGGTAAGGGGAAATATGGTAGTTTGATAGATGTTCTACATAAGGTTTGAATGTTCTACATTGTGCCATACCCAATTTTCCATATAGACAGCTCCTCTGATGGAATGTTCAATTTAGGAAACACTCTAAAGTCCAATATTGGCTCCATAATATATCACTTGTACATACAAAATTAAATACAGAAGCAAAGAAATACAGACACAACCAATATTGATGTAAAAATCATGGCTTACCTTTCATAGTTTTCCCAGAATATATAAAATCTTCTCCATTTAAATTGTCTTCCTGTAAAACTTTAGACATATCTGGTGATATTTTTTGTTTGATGAGACTGTCTTTACCAGGTAAATTTTTTTTCAGATTTTTTTCTTGGGGAGATTTTCCATTTACTGACCTGTCAATAAAGGGTTTTCTAGACAAATGATTATTTCCTTGCTTTCTCTGTATGTGGCTATCAACATCTATAAAAACCAAAATTAGAATTTCATATTTATAATAGATATGTTATTTATAACTGTTGATTAGAAGACAATTAATTATCCTTTTGATTTGCTTTGAAAATCAATAAAAACCATTTACCTACTTACTTTCAGATAAATATATTTGTACTGTTGGCGAAGAAAACATTTTGAATAATTATTAATCGATTCCTTTTAATTTCCTTGTACTGAGCGTATCTTTAGATATCTCACTTTACTTTTTTGCGGGAGTTTTTATTAGATATTAAAATATTTTCAAAAACCGTGTGTAACGGTCACATTCACTTTTTTGTTTATCTGGCCTTTGTTTTCTTCTTTTACATGTATCTAGTCATCTGTGCACATATCTTCACCGCTTTATGAGATCATCCAAGAATATTATTTCTTCTTCTTTTTCGTGTTGCCATTTTTGGAACAATTTTAAAGCGTCTGTAGGAATTTTTATGTGCTGATAATGGATGGGGGATTTTTTGGGGAAAAAATTGTAGGATTTTAGGGGGTCATGGTCAATCAAACTTGCGAATATACATTTATAATCGATGATGATGGAATCTATGAATTATTTTAGCGCCGCCTGTTGATAAATAGCATAATTTTGGTTTACTGTTCTCCACATTTGACCACAGATCACCTACCTCTCATTTGACTACTAAAATTCAAAAATCCGCAGGGCTTTGGGATTCACGAATTTCGAATTTCATTTCGATTCAAGTAGGTAATCAAGTAATTCCCCTGTAGGCTAGAAATAGCGAAGAAAATTTCTATTCCATATCCATGGCAGCAGTAGAAAACAAATTTACAATATGTAAAATTCGATTTTCTGCCACCTAGGCCACCTCCGTTAAGAGTTGTTTAGGATTAACACTCCGATATACGACGGTGGTCTATCAGAATAGGGTTTATGCTCAAAAAGCTATTTCTTACATAAGTAAATAATATAAACATGTAAAAACAAAAAACTATCTTTACATATTTTTAATTTGAGCACATTTAGATTGTTATACATAAAATTTTAATATATATTATTATTGCTTAATTTTTTACCTGACTTACGAGGTATTCATTCTTTAGTTCCAGATATACTTGGTTTTCACATTAAATATTTAATGTATACGAGTTTTTCATATTAGTTGATTCATGTAATTCTGTTTTACGTGGTTTTCAATCTTAAAAGGGTTATATTAAAACAATAAAAATACGTTAGCTATTTAGTTTAATGACATACATGTAGTTACAAAATTAACATTAAGCCATAAAATAATTGAAACACTGAAATCATTGATTTTGGATATCTTAAAAATTGTCCCACTCTTTTAGCTCTTTAGACGCAACCCTTTAGTTCTTAAGTACTTTGTTTAGTCCACTCTTACCCCAAGAATACAGGAGCACTTATTATTTCTTTTAGGCCTACACAGTTTTTCCTAAGGACTTATGAGGTAGTGTGTCATAGAAGAGATGAACATCTCTAGGTATTACCGATTTCATTTCCTGAAGATGTTTGAACTTATTTGCTTCTAAAGGAATCCGGGCTTTGTAGAGAGAGGGAACAACTACTTCACCGTCGGGTTTTCGTACCCTTCTCGGAAGATCAGTAAAATTATCTTCAAATCCTAATTTCACTTGCACCGACCAATCTGATTTATATTCGATGCATCGGAGATCTGTAACAACGGGGTCTCCTTTTTTAATCCTGGTCTGATTGATTCGATGAATTTGAGGCTGCTATTGAAAAGAAGTCATGGTAAATGTATCGTACTTTGTATGGTTTAGGATTTAGTCTGGCTGATTTGCAAGCTTCTTCGTAGCTTGAAGGAGAGTAAATTTCCCTATTTTTAAGCTTCCGTTCGATAGTTGCATGCATGGAATCGTATTCCATTTGAGTGTGTCCCTTGACCAAGAATTTTTGAGTGATGGTTATTCCGGTTTTATGAGAAGCGAGCAGAAGGGCATTAGCCAATATACAGTTCCGGTTCTGGTATGTACAGCCATCACTGTAAAAGATTACATGATCATATAGGCACTTCTATCAATTTTAGTTGTTATGAAATTGTAGATGATGGTTGCAAACTCATTTGCATTTAGACTGCCTTCACACTCATCCCACAAATAGCAGTGTCCATCCAGATTAGTAAGATTGAAAATGGTGAAATTGTGGACCTTGAGCTTTGTGCGATAGTACAACGCAGAAGCATTTAAGTATGGACTAAGCAAAACTGCTTGTAGGTCCATTGTAAATACAGCTGTTTCGCTGTTGGTAGAGTTCGCATGATCTTTGTCCTTGTCTTTTTCTTGCCTAGCTTGTTTCTTCTGTTCAATGTGAGCATTATAGTCATCTTCGCTAAAATTTCCTACTTTGAATGAGCAACAAATGTCGCACTGATCATTTTTGGGTTTAAATAATTGCAATTTGGGTTGCCAAATTGGAAATCAGAATGTCATAAACAAATGTAATTCCAACTGTAATTCTCATTACAATTAATTGTGGTTTAATCCCATATAAATACAATATTTAACTTCTTCTCTTTATACATGTTATCATAGAGGAAGCCGCTTTTATCCTATCATAACTTATTTCTTCAAATTGTTCAATCATATCCTAATTTTCAAAAAAGAAGTTGAGATGATGACTACTTTAATAAAAAAAAACAGTTAAAATTCTAAATTTATTTATAATATGCACAATCAGATAAATAAATATTTTCACCTAGTATATTTGTCAATTCTTTTTGCAACAATTCATGTAAAGTCTTCATATCATGTTTATATACCCAATAATTGCCATTAGTTTCGAAATCATATCGCTTTGGACCAGATTTGGGAGAACTGAGCCAAATTTGTTTATTTGGTGACTGTCTATTTATTACATAAGTTCCATATTGTCCTAAATTTACAGTTAATACTCCACTGCTATAGGAGACATCAGCTGACTTTAACTTATCATTGGATTCAACTAATTCTTCGAAAAAATCTGTGAGAGATTCTAAAGTTTCTTCACAAACTTTTTCAAATGTATTACTATCAATCTCATCAACAACATTGGTACTAAAATTACTTAAAGTCAATTTTTTCGGCAAAACTATTGGAAATCTAGGTGAACAAATATTATTTTTCTCCAAATATCTAATATTATTGTGACTACAAATAGAAACTACTTGAACAGTTTTTGGGAGTTTTTTTAATTTTACCTGTCGAAGTAATTTCAACATCTTTCATTTCAGAAATTTCTGAGATGTAATAAAAAATAATATCTTATTTGAGCTTGAGCAAAATATTGACTTTTATTAATAACCATAACCTAAAAATTTGATTTGATAACCTATGAATTGGATTTGTTATTGTTATTCTACTTCTTTTTTTTATGGTTTTATAATTAACCTAACCTGTATAATGTATTCTGCTATTTTGCAATGTGTATTTCTTATACATATAAACATTATAGCTTTTAAGTAAAAGTTTAGTAAATAGTAAATAATACATAGTGAAACTTTGGGAATAAAATGTATGCCAGACCGAAGCCTGGTGAAACTGAAGAGGATCTATTAAAATTACAAGAGGAATTTGAAAGGAACAGAGCTGAAAATAAAATACAGCTAGCTGCAACTGTAGTCAGTAATAAAAAATCGGGTATGAAGTAGTAAATATAATATATATTATAGTAAATTTAATATAATAGAATTCTCGAATTAAAATGTTTTGTTTTAGAAGAAAAAAGTTTAGTGGAATGTAGCAAAGCTGAAGTTAGCGAAATTGATATCAAGGAACAGTTGGCAAATACATTTGAAGCCATTCCCAATGATACCCAACTCAAAAATGTTGTTGAACATAAAAATCAGCCAATACCATCAATTTTCAAATTTAACAGGGATAGGGGTTTTCCTCAAGCCAAGAGACGTGAAGTAAGATATTTAATTTTATTGTGTTTAATAGTAGTATTATTTGTACAATAGGTTCTAGGTACAGCTATATATTTATATTTTTAAAAGTGAAAGAGGAGACAGCAAGGCATTTATGATTACAGTAGTTTTGTTACTAATAACTTTTATGTCCAGTGAGAGGAAGGAAAAACAAGAAGGGATAATAGAATAAGAAAAGGGGGAGAAGGGGAAAAAGAAATAAAGTTGATATCCAAGGAAGAAGCGCCAGAAGACAATGTTGTATATGAACTTATAAAACAAGGAGGAGAAAAAATAAATGAATAAGTTTACCAACTAATAAAACAAATATGGATACAAAACATTTGAAGCCCAACCTCTCTACACAAACATGGATACAAAACAGAATAAAGTTTGGAACACTGGAATTATTACACCTATCTACAAGAAAGGAGCAAAGGACTTATGTGAAAACTATAGACAAATCACATTTTTAAATAGTATATACAAAATATTGGCATAGCCATGAGGAACTGTACATACTCCTACGTTGTATAGGGGCTCCTATCAGCAGTAACAAATGACCATTAAAGAGTGTCTGCTTGGAATTTTGACTGAAATTTTATTCATCATAACTTTTGAATGGTAGGTTGTGTTTCATGTTTTGGCCAAACAATTTCACTTTTATCACCTAATGAACTTTGATCACTTTGTTCAAAGAAAAAAATTTCATGCTGTGTATAATTTGTGAAAACTTTAATAAAAATTTAACAAATTAGACAATTAAATTGGTATATTTTTTTCCACAGGATTACTTACTGTTACACTTTCATTACTTAATGTTACAATATTTATTTACACCCTTATCACATCTAATAAGTCCATCAATTGCATCTACAAATTATAGGAGATGGAATCCCACAATTACAGTTGGCTAGCTAGATTGCGAATAATGATTGCTTATTATATAGAACCTTATTTACTGATGAAGCCCAATTTATGAGGGATGGAGTAGAGAACTCACAAAACTCACAATTGGGAAGACGAAATTTTTCATGCGCTTTGCAAATTTCATTCCCAGTGTAGATTTTCAGTGAATGTTTGAATATGAGTAATACACAGACAACTAATAGGCCTTGGTTTCTTTAATGCACCGTTGACATTTGCTGTGCATTTAGGTTTCTTACAAAATATTTTGCTGAATCTACTATTCAATACTGCAGCCTAAATTTTGTACTTTATGCACGATGTGGCATTACAACATTTCCAGTTGCTGTCTGTCAACATCTTCATGCACCTTATGGAAATTGGGTATGGCTTCCTAGTAATGCATGGCTACATAGGTCATCTGATTTTAACCCTGTCAACTAGTTTATATGGGGCCAATTGAAATCAGTGGTTTATTGAGAAAATATAAATACATGACAATAACTAATTGACAAAGTTATTGATACTTGTAACAATAGTATAAATGATCCCTTAACTCCCAGGAGACATTCGACGATCCAGCAAAGACGTATAGAAAGAAGTAAAGTTTATTTCGAAAACTTGTAATAAATTTAAACAATTTTACATTTGTGTTCGTTACGTCGTGTTCGTTTTATTTGTTTCATAAGTTCTTTTATGTAATTGTATACAATTCTTTCTTATTCTTAAATTTTCTTATTTTTTTAAATGTTCTATGTATTTTCGTTTCATTATTTTAAAAAAGAAATTATATTTTTTTCTTTTGAAACAAAGTTATGAGAATGGGATCAAATGTTATACAGGACAATGTTTTAGTATTATCCAAAACAAGAATACAAAGAATTGTACCTTTTGATATTCTGTAAGGGTTGTATTATTTTAAATTTACAAGCACGAGCTATGATATTTTTAATACTTTAATAAATTTTAAAAACAAAAAAAAATATTTTTGCTAGAAAAGTTATATTTTTTTAAAGCTAAGGTTCACTTTTCCAAATTTTTAATTCATAGTAAATTTTTTTTATTATTACAAATTACGTAATAGTGTGTGGAAAAAATAAATATATCATTTTAATTTAGTCATATGTAACACTGTGTGGTATGACACTTTTGTGCTGATACTTTATGGTGCATCATGTGTATAACTAATAAAGAAAAAACTGTATTATATAAAAAAAAAAACAAATAAATAAAATTTGAAATTAAAATTGTTATTGTTTAAATTATGTTTAAATATTGTTTAAATTTGTTATAGTTTAAATAAATGTAGTCAACTTAAAAATCAGTGGAGAGATATTAAATGCTAAAGAAAGAATAAAGATGGTTACATAAAAAAATCTAAATCTAGGTTAACGCAACAAATCAAAAATATTAAAGTAAAAAAATGTACACCTACTTATTCGTTATTGTTTAAGTTATAACTTAAAATCACTTGAGAGATTTTATCCGTCTTTAATCTCTCTCGCTTTTCGTTGACTATCTGTCCAGCTTTAGAAGATATCCTTTCACACGGGACAGAAGTAGCCATATTACAAAGCCTAGTCTTCATAATTTGGTATAATTTTGGGTAAATGTGCTTCCGTTGGTGCCACCACAATAGAGGATCCTAGGATATACCGGAGCTATCTTTTCTCGGTAAAATGGGCTCTTTTAAATATTTGTCTATCTAAACAATGGCTGACGCTGCTTGGTTGTTGGTGTTGTTGAACTTCCTTATCAAAATCTTTCCATCAATTTTGAAGTAGATCTTCCTTATACAGTATATTTTGAATTGGTTGTTTAATATTTTCCTCTTCTTCGTTTTCTTTTTGTGTGGGTAATTTTGTGTTGGCTACCTTGCTGTACAAATTCTCTACTGCTTTGAGATATTGTCTTTCGTCTATGAAACCAAATTTTTTAAATCTGTCCAAGATTGTTCCTTGAGCTATTAAAATATGTTCCTCTATATCTAAAAATCTTTGTTTTAGTTCAAATTGCAGCTTTTTTACCACATTTTGAACCTGAGGCATTATTGTATTTATGTCAAATGAATAATAAAATATTATTGACGGAGCACTAACTTTTTGCTCAGAACTTATGGCAGTTGTAATTAAATTAAAAATCTGAAAAATAGCTGAACTATTTAAAACTGCCAATGTTTATATGATTGCATTTTTCATCTGTAAAATTCTCTTAATCATATCAAATGTGGAATTCCATTTCGTAACCACATCATTTTTTAATTTTAGTGATGGTATATCCATTCGCTCTTACTAGTGTATCTAACTTACAATATTTTTCACCGAATCTCTTCTTCTTTCCCACCTTATGTGATCCTTTGATTGTCAGTTTTCTCGAGACTTATCTATCTACAATCGCTCTTATCACTTTGATTTATATCCCACGAAAATATCGCATATTTTTCTCCATAATTTTTTTCACACTTATAGCTTTTTCTACAAATCTCCGACTGCTGTCAAAAAGAAAAAACTGAAAACGTCGCAATATATCTAACTAGTTCATCAATCAAACTACAACAGACCAGTAGCGCACCTAGAATTAACCTCGGGGGGGGGGGGGGGTTTGGTTGGGCACTAAAATTTTTTTATGCTACCTCCACCATTTTAAGTCCTTAAAATTTATAAATAACAGTGTCAGAATAGGGTCCTGGGAGGGGGGGGGGTTTAACCTCCAAAATCCTCCCTGGGTGCTCCACTGCAACAAACACATTTTGAGTTTTCAACCTGTCTGATCCATTATCGTTTTGTGTCCTTTGTTCTCAAAAAGGTTTTATTTGTGAAAAGATCAACTCTCGGTCAGTTTCGCACAGCTATTAAGTAAATGCAAAACAGATGTTACAGCTTAGGGAAGGTTTCAAACTTTCACATAGTGTCAATGGCTTACTGTGTTATATGACACAATAGTGTTGACATACTGAGTTGATACAATAAGCTGCATCAGTATTGCTGTATCAAAACCCAAAAATTTAGTGTGTTACCCATCGTTATTTTAATTGCCTATTTGTCTAATTTATAAAATTCGTATTAAGAGTTTTCAAAAAGTGTATATAAGATGAAATTTGTTCTATGAACAAAACGAACTAATTTTTTAAAGCCTGTTTTTTTCTCGTTTGAATAAATCAGTTCATTATCATCATCTTGGTGCTACAGCCCTTAGAGGGCCTCGACCTTCTCAAGCTTTCTACGCCATTCTGTTCTGTCTCTTGCTTGCATTTTCCAGTTGCCGACTCCGATCTTCTCGGCATCTTGTGTTACCCCGTCCATCCACCTCTGCTTTGGTCTTCTCATTCCCACGGGTTGCGCTGTTAGAATCTTTTTATCATGTTCGATTCAGGGGCCCGGCTACATGTCCTGTCCACTGCAGGCGGTTTCGCTTAATTATAGCGGTAATATCTTTACCACCAAACGTATGCTTGTAGATATTCTGCAGTTCAAAGTTATATCTACGCCTCCATATTCCGTTCTCGCAGACCGCTCCGAATATCTTGCGTAGCATCTTTCTTTCAAAAATCGATAGAGCAGATTCATCTGTTTTAGTTAGCGTCCATGCCTCTGATCCATATGTGATAACGGGGACTATCAGTGTTCTATACAGCCTTATACGAGTTTTTTGAGACAGACGTTTGTGCTAAGTACTTTGATAGACCATGATAACACCTGTTTGCAATTATTATTCGCCTTTTTATTTCCTCAGATGTGTTATTATTGGGGTTAACCGATGTCCTTAGATACATGAACTCTGACTGCTTCGACGTTTTGGTCATTGATGATTAAATCTGCGTCAACATTTCCAGCTCTTGTGTTTGTGTTAGTCGCCATGAATTTGGTTTTATTTTGATTTATATGTAAGCCAATTCGTTCTGCTGCTGCTACTAGCTCGGTTAGGATTTCTGCAGTTCTCGTCCTGGTTCTTGTTATAATGTTCACGTCGTCTGCATATGCTAGAATTTGGACTGATTAAATATTGTTCCCCTGCTATCTATCATATATATATATATATTATATTATATATATATATATATATATATATATATATATATATATGATAGATAGCGGGGGAAATATATATATATATATATATATATATATATATAATATATATATATATATATATAATTCCTCTGCTAATAATAAATCAGTTAATGAGGTTATATTAGTGTAACGTTTGACCAAAACATGAGATTCATTGATCTTACAGTTCAAAAGTTATGAAGAAAAAATTCAGTCAAAATTCACAACTCGCCCTGTAAACATTGGAACATTTTTTACCGGTCATTTGTTATTCATAATAGGGTCTTCCATACGGGATGGGATTATGTAGAGTTCCTCACCTTGTATGTACTTACGTTGTATAATAAAGACTAAAATAAAAAACTTGTAGAAAAAATACTAGGAGACTACTAAAATTCTAGAAAAACCTTGGGAATATAACAGAAGCGTCCATCTAGTATTTCTTGACTTTCAAAGCACCTTCTACACAATAAAAATATATAAGATGATGGAAGCATTAAAGAAACTGCAGACACCAAAAAAAAACTAAGGAAATTGATAGAAATGGACCCCACGGATCAGAAGCATTAGATAAATTTCTGGCGGACATCAACAATAAAGAATTCACCATGGAAAAGAAAACAACAATTCACTTTCCACAGTCAAAAGAAACCAACAGCACACACACAACAATTCACTTCTTGTTAAACTGTTTGTTCGGGCATCTTGTGGAGGTGTTGATGTCAACCCCTAGTGTTGGCGAAACGTTTAGAACTAATCTCAGAAAACAACGGCCTAACAGCCCGAACAAACAGTTCAACAAGTTAGACGATGGTCGTGAAAGCCTAACGCATTTTATCAATTCACTTCTTTTTCTGGATGTTAATCACAAAAGAGGACATTGAATGTACAACTCACCCAACAGATAACTGAATTACCACTCAAACCACAACAAAACATCAAAAAAGAAATTATTAAATCATTATGATAGAGCTTTAATGAAACACCTGCTTTAATGAAAATAGATCATTTGAGGAAGAAAAAGCTGCCAAGCAAAGTTTTGACAAAAAATGACTATCTATTGTCAATTATAACAAAGGAATTTCACAAGAAAGGAAACAACAAAACACCACAAGCAATATAGAAACACTAACAAGAAGGGATTCAAAGATGACAACAATACAATATATAAAAGGTTTATCAGAAAAAATGAAAAGTATAGTAAATAAGTACATCACAACATTTAAGACAACCAACACATTGAGATCTACCCTGTCCAATAAAAAGCTAACAACACACAAGAGATCAAATAACTGCATCTATAAAATACACTGTAAATCAATTTTAAAAATCTTCCTTAATGTCATCAGTTGGCGCTACAGCCCTTGTGAGTCCTGGCCTGCCTTAAGACATTCTTCCATCCTTCCCTGTTGAGTGTCTGTCTTCTCCATCCGTTTAGTCCAATCTCCCTTAAATCTTCCAGCACATCGTCCAGATATCTGAGTTTAGGTCGCCTTGTTCTTTTTCCTACTGACCTATTTAGCATGTTTATGTTAGCAGGATCACTTTCATCCATCCGCATAACGTGACCTACCCATCTTAGGCAGTTTATTTTCATGGTTTTCACGATATTTGCATCACCAAAAAGTCTGAGATGGATACGGCATCTAATGCGGATGGAACAAAATGACCCAGCTAGAAAAACGCTCCTTATTATATACCCATTGGTCAGAGAAGAAGAGGAAGACTCAGAACAAGGTTCCTTGATAACATCGATGAAGACATGAGAAATATGGGAATACATGCTTGGCGGAGGAAGGCGATGGGTAGGGACGATTGGACAGAAATTCTTGAGGAGGCTAGTACTCATGCAGGGTTGCAAAGCCAGTATGATGATGAAAAAGAGTTCAAATTATATGGCCTTCTCCACAGACTTTTTTCATTAACTCTGCTATATATGGTCCTCAATACTTTTCTTTCAAAGATTCGTAGTAACTCTTTATATCGAGTTGTTATTGCTCATGTTTCCGTTCCGTAAGTTTTAAAAAACATAATCTACAAAAAACTTTCGTTTTCACGTAATTTTTTAAATAATCTTTTTTTGGAAAGGATTTCTGTAATGGAAATCGAAACGTCAAATTTTATTTAAACATTTAATTTTTATTGCAGTAAATTGTGGCTTAACCTCATATAAACATAGTATCTTAAACACATTTAATTGCACTCAGGTGATCTAGTAGTTATAGGAAAAACAAAAATAAATGTTTTCATCATTCAAGTCTCATTCCTTGCAATGGTTCATTCATATAACCGTCAATTATGGTTATTTTATTCCATAATGTTAGGCAGGGAATCACAATACCCCCAAATTGGTTGTTGTAGAATAACTTCATGAAACTGTACTAAGAGAGAATATGTATTAAAATATGTAGAAAAGAAATGAACTATTTGAGATATGTTGATAATGTAATTCTAATAGCTGATATAAAAAAATATATGCTTTGATCATATATAAAACAAGTGATAAGTACTCTTTTAAATGACTTTCTATCATAACCAAGAATGTAAAACTTTTTAAACTACATAATTTTAATAATTTAAACAGTTTTAAATATATATGTGTGTCTTTGTAATAGATAAATTAATCCTTTGTTTGCAACTTCGAGTCATTTTATGTTTTTTTTTATTCTTGGTGACCTGACGATATTAGGTTTAGGTTAGGTTTAATGTGAGTGAGCGATTAACCACTCTTCCACTCAACTTAAGAGATCTATTGTGACTTACCTGATGATATTGCACAAGTTCTAAGCAATGAAACTAGTTGCCACAATAAAACATTTAAAACATCAAATTGTATCAGACCACTTTAACCCATTCCTTCATTAATATATTCATCATTTGTGATATGATGATAATGTAATTAGTATTGTTCTAAAGCTATTTTCTCGTGGCATTTTAAATTAATTACTATTTAACTGGGAATGAGCCACAATTAAAAGTTAAAATACGTTTATTGACTTTTCAATTTCCACTTCGGAAATCGTTCTCAAAATACAAACAGTATGTAATTAGTAGTTTATACAAAACATCTATAAAATGGTTGAAGACTTATATAAAAGATATGAATCTTAGTAAAACTAAAACTAACACAAGTATTGTTCCCACTTTTCTTTTGTTACCATAATAAAACAGTTGCCCTTTCAATTCTATCAATTTTTAATGATTAATCTACTATTTAATTTTAATACCATTTTATTAGGAGACAGCTGTTGCTGGAAAGGGAAGTATTTTTGCGCAACAAATGAAAAAGCAAAAGAAAGGAGAAACAGCAATGGAAGTTGATAACACCCCAATAACTGTAAGTAACCTTGTGATTAAAGAGAGAAATGAAACAAGCAGCTCTGGTAATGAGAATATAGTTAAAAATAAACCAGAAAATCTTCCAACACAAAGTTATTTGCTAACTGGAAAAGATAGCGGACAAATACATGAAGAAAATTTAAATCTTTTGAAGGTATGTAAAAAATAGTGTAATCACCAGTTAAGAAGTTTCAGCTTCGTTTATTTTAAAATAATATTGCATAATGTTGTTAAGAAGCAGTGGCTGGACTACTCTAAACATAGTGTTACCTTCTTTTTTTATTTTGAATAATTTACACAAAACTATTTTATATACTTACTTTATAAAAAAATTCGGGATATATGTTACCTACAGTAATATGTATTAAATTTTATTTTATTAACCTCCAGAGTGTAATCTACTGACATTTCTAAGATACATAAATGTTATATGTAATCATGTAGAATATTAAAAATTATTACATTGTACGGTACATAATATGTAAAGTATTATATTTGTGTACTTACCATGAAGAAATAAGAAGGCGAACAAAAGTTATAGATGTAATCCAAAAGATTGCCATGTTAGAATGGAACTGGGCAGGATACATAGGAAGATTGGAAGACAACCGTTGGACGAAGCGAAGTATTGAATGGCGACCAAGAGCAAACAAGAGAAGTAGAGGCACACCTCAAACCAGATGGACTGATGACATCAAGCGAATGGCTGGTCACGAATGGATGCAAAAAACAATAAACAGAAATGAATGGACACACCAAAGGGAGGCTTACATCCGACGATGGATGGAAAAGCTGTTGATGATGATGATGACTTACCATTAGTGAGGTCTTCCAGGAATGATCTGGATCAAACATCTTTGTTCCGTATTTTTACACTAACCTGAAAGACCCGGTTCACAAAATGATTACGATTTGGGTCTTAAGACCCAGTTCTAATGTGATCCTAAAACTAATTATGTCACTTGTGTTAATAATTGTAAAGTGTATTTTTGCGTGGTAGCAATTGGTATATCTACACATTTTATTTATATTACTCTTTTTGCTTCTATTTTCCTTTTTTATTTTTCTTACGTTTTACATTACTAAACGCTTAGAGACATTAATAATATAGTTAGTAACCTTCCAGTATCTATGTATTCGTTGACCATTAAGTCTATAGACGGTAATTCCATTAGTACAGAACCGAATGACCGGAGACCTGGTATAATTAGGGCTCTGGTATCAAGGGGGCATCGAACCTTCCCATAGCAACAGTAAGTTCGGCGAAAGCTGCCTAACTACTCTGAAGGTTTGCCTGTAAGGTCTATATTATTTGTGGACTTGAAGAGTAATACTTAGATATTGAGGAGCGCAGTAGTTGATAAATTTATGTAAGAAATTTATCGAAGTTTTGCTACGCCACTGGTAGCAAGCAATTTCTAATTTTGTAAAATCTACCGAGGTAACTTTTTTCTAGCAAATTCCAAAGAAATCGCTGGTATAAAACATTCAAAAGGTTGTTTCAACCATTGAAAACTGGTACTTTGAAAATCCCCGATAGCAATCATTCAAAAGGGGGTTTTAGCTACCTAATAGAAATTTCGAAGAAATTTCACCTGGCTTCTGATAGATGAGGTAATGATAATTTGAAAGTAGTCACGTAGTCAGTATCAAATTGTATCCCAGCTTAGCTGGTCGCTTCTTGGTTAGAGGTTTCAACTCTAACATATTATTGTTAGTTTAGTATTCGATCAAATTCGACGTATTTCTGGTTTAAGCGTTTTAGACTCTTGTGTATTCAGTATACTTAATTATTGCTATATAGCTTATAATTGATATGAGGTTGAATGCTCGAATAAATGAACTTTGAAAAATTAAGGCAAATATCGAGCACAAGTTTAATAATCAAATCTTGCCCAAGTACTTTCGCTATCTACAGCATCATCAGGGGCATTTCGTCAAATTTGAGCTATCCAGCAAGCGTAGAATGTATTACACATGAGAGTGGACGTAAATTGTACATAACACTACATTAACAAAAGGACAAACAGTTTAAACTTATTAAAATTATTCTAACGCTCTACATTCTTGTCGGCAACCGGAGAGAGAATTCTCTCTCCGGTTGCCGACAAGAGGCAACAGATAAGTCATCACGAATTGATTAGATGCTTTATTGTGTACGATAATGGAGTTTTTAGATAGATTGAGAATTAGTTGCCAGCTTTAGTATCGGATTTAAATATTAACGAAGCATATTTCACTAACAACATTAAGAACTATTAAACGTTAGCCTGTAGAGATATTCATGAAAATAGCTTTTGCAGAACCATCTGTCCCACTTTTTAAGAAAGTGTGACCGCTATACATGCACTAGGGCAGTCCGATAAGTACTTAGCCTACAAAAGAAAAAAACAATTTTGGATAAACAAAAACAGGAGCAGCTTCCTGGACGTAAGCAAAGCATTCGATAGAGTCTGGCATAAAGAGCTAATATACAAAATGAGAGGCTATGGATACAGTGGGGTAATGACGAGACTGATTTTTTTCCTACCTTGGGAACCGGATCTTCATAGTTCGAATAAAACAAGTACTATCCGAACTCTTAACCTTGGAGGCTGTAGTACCACAGGGAGCGGTCCTGTCACCACTACTGTGTACAATATACACCGCCTATGTTCGAAGAACATGTGGAACATTATTCAGTCTTTACGCCGACGACACGGCGATAGCGGCCAAGCGCAAGCATGTAGATATTGCAGTAAAAAACTTACAAACAGCGCTGGAAAACATTGAAGAATGGAGTATACAATGGGAAATCGACAAAAACTCCGAGAAAATGCAAGCGGTGATTTGTAAAAAGATACAACAATACCCAGAGGAACAACTGACGGTGCAAAACAATCGCATCGAATGGAAAAGTGAAGCTAAATACCTGGGTCATAATGGATAGGAAATACTAAATTTTCAAAAACATCTAGATGCCAGACTACAAGAAGCAAATATGGCAAAAGCGTCAATAAGGGGACTCGTAGACAGAAAAAAAAATTAAGAACAAAAACAAAGATAAGACTAATAAATAGCGTCATACTACCAATATTAACATACGCATCTCTCTCATGGGGACAAGTCTGCAAAACAAATAAGACAATGATACAAGCGGTCCATAACAGCAGCCTAAGAGAAGCAGTCACCGTACTCAGATACGTCGTTAAACGTTTTCTGTTCAGAGAACTCCAACAAGCCAGAGTGACCGATGTGATGGTGGAAAAGGCAAAGATAAAATTCGCGGAACTGGAAACCACCCAAATTCAACATTGCGAGAAATAGTGAGATATGATGCGTTCCATCGATGGAAGCACAAACGTCCTAAACTACAGATACTGGAATAAACGTAAATGTGTAAAATCAGAGAATAGTTCGTACCTATATCAAAGTAGACAATCACAATCACTGTACAGGCCCATTATTAATGATATTTTTCTTTATAGACATCCTTAAAAAAAAACACAAAAAACGACCAAAAAGATAAAAAAATACTAACAAAAACTGGCAAAATCCATTTTAAAATTTAAAAAAAACCCGACACGAAGCCCAAATCCTCGAGCACCAAGTCGCCGAATTGGGCGTAGCCCGGAGCGGAGACTTAAGGCCTAAGCAAGCCATTCAGATTTGCGAATAAGTCACAAGAAGATAGCAGAATTAAACGCCTCACGTTAGCCTGCATAGATCGGTTAAAGTACCTTGTTGGAGTTCTTGCACCCAGGACTCCCACATAAAGAACATTTGGCTGATAGTGTGCTCCTGTCGCGCATCAGACTGCTATAGGAGGGACAGGGATGGTCTAGAGCATTGGAGCGAGCTGGAGTGATTCCTGTTCTCATACGAATTAATATACATCGCTCCAATGAATTGTAACACCCGAACGTCATTTCAAAGGGTCTACAAGTCTTTCAGACTATGTTTAATTAAATTGCTTGCTTGGCAATTTTGGAAAAGTTGCTATATATTTCTCATCATAGTCTCCGTTTAGCTCGATACACTTGTCCTTGCGATGCTCCAAATTCTTTAACCCGTCTGAAAAATATGTTTATTACGTATACGGACATTCTTTAAAGAGTTATTAGCAATGATGTTTCTAGCGAGAAAGGTACCACTCATCTTTTATTTTTAATTTTCTTAAACTAACCCGATACTTTGTTGTTGTATAGAAATTGATAGAATAAAGGTAAACAAGATAAACTCGGTTCATCGATGGTATTCAATGACATTAATTCTCGTATTGAATAAAGACCTACAAAAAGTTAACGTAAATTGTTCTTTATTCATCAAAATAATATCCTTTAGCGGCGATACAATCATTCCAACGCCTTTCCAATTTTTCAATGTCGATTACTTCCTCATTGAAGCGATACCTCTTGCCATTTTTTAGAACGGTAAAAATGTGGTAGTTGCCGAGGGCCAGATCTGGACTATACGGTGAGTGAGGAAGCAATTCAAAGCCCAATTCGTACGTTTTTGTGATTATTTTCATCGACTTATGATACTGTACCTACCTTTGAGATGTATATATACATACGAATGTTGAGAATTCCATGGGTATAAAGAGTTACTAATATTGAGGTACTTCGTGTATTGTGTATGCTAAGAATAATCAAAGAGAGGAAAATGCAATACTTGGGTCATGTGTTGAGAGGCGAAAGATATAAATTACTTTAAGTTATACTGGAAGGAAAAGTACAGGGCAAAAGATTAGTAGGAAGACGCCAGAACTCGTGGCTGAAAGACCTGAGGAGATGGTTCGACCGTTCATCCGCAGAAATCTTTCGCGCAGCAGTTTCCAAAACTACAATTGCCATTTGGATCGCCAGCCTTTGAAAGGAGACGGCGCCATGAGAAGAAGATGATACTGTACATTGTTTTGGCGAAAAACATTTGTTCTTCAACAAATAGTCGCCATAGTCGCTGTTGATTGTTTTTCCATATTTCAAATCATTAATAAAAATAATTCCTTACGGGTGCCAAAATACAGAGGCCATAACCTTCCTGACGGTTTGGTATATATTTGGTCCGGTTTGATTGATTGATTTTTGTGAGTTCTGTTCACTCAGATCACTGCCGTTTTGATTCCGGAGCGAAGTGATGCATCCATGGTTCATCCATGGTGATATATCAGCGCAATAACTTCCACCTTTCCAACTGTTCTATTAAACATGTACAAACAGCGGCGCGAATCTCTTCATACCAACAATTCTTCCTGTCGTAGTGATATGTTTGTTATAGTGCATCTATCGAGTGATGTTATGAGCACATCCGCGTTCAAGACGACTATTATTAATGATTGAATTTATATGGAAAAAACAATCAACAGCGACTATATGCGACTATTTGTTGAAGAACAAAGGTTTTTCGGCAAAAATCAATGTACACAGGGCGGAGCAGTATCATTCTCTCGTCTCAAGGGCGACGTCTGTCGCTTTCAAAGGCTGGCGATCCAAATGGCATATTATATTTATGCTTGGAAACTGCTGCGCGAAAGATTTATTTGCGAGGCAAGACACACCAACGATTTATCCGCTCGCGGCACAACACGTCGTCACGTCACTAACAGAGCATCTAACTCTCTAGACACACGCTCTTACCACACGTGAGTCTTGACTCTCACATAACACGTTAGAGCAGCCATAAGCCTCTGCTAACTCCTCTCCACGTATAACTTTGTAAAGTAATTTTTATATTCTCTCTTTTATTTTTATTATTTTTTCTTCTTTTGTACATGTAGACGATATAATATTTAAATTGTATGTGGTCCATGGGGCAAGAGAGGGGGTTTATGATGCGAGTTTGATGAGTAAGCTCAACACACGCGAGCGTTTCTTCGAGCGCGCAGTTCACTCTGAGTAATAACCTCTTTGCCATACACTAATTGGCTGTTCTCTGTCCCGGCACATCTATAGCCGTACATGGTGACTCTTGAGATACACTACTGTTGTCATTCTCAGCAAACTCTAAAGGGTCGATGTAGCTGCGAGGAGTATGCTAGCGAGATAGCGAAGTACAGTTGTGACCCTGTTACTATCATTCTCTCTATCTATGAGAGATTGGTATGCACAGTGCTCGGGTAGCGGGCAGTAGCTTGGAATTACCTTTTCCACTGGACTATTAAGCATGTAAAAGGCATTGATATGACAGAGATCTGAGAAATATATTCTTATCTATAACAAGGGGAATAGAGTGCGCGAATCTTGTGTTGATGTGGGTCTGAACTATGACATGGACACATATCTGTCACACACACACAAACGTCAGTGTAGGTTTCGTATATATATATATAGACATAAATGTATATGGGGGGGGGGGGGGGAGGAGTGGGGGCGGGGGGGGGGGGGGGGAGTGGTGTTGGTATCTAGGATTGACACTGGGGAAGGGGTATAGTGGATTCAATCTTAATAGTAGTTGTGAGGTCTGGGTGAATTATAGAGGAGGTTGTTCTGAGTGATGTGTCTGATGGATGGGGTGTGGGTGGGGTGGGGGTGGTTTGGTTGGGGTTAGTGGGGTGGGGTGGGGTGGGGGGGGGGTGGGTGGTGGGGGGGGGTGGGGTGGGGGGGGGTGGGGGTGTGGGGGGGGGGGGGGGGGGGGGGGGGGTGTGGGGGGGGTGGTGGGGGGGGGGGGGGTGGGGGGGGGGGGGGGGGGGGTGGGGGGGGGGGGGGGGGGTGGGGGGTGTGTGGTTTGGGTGGGGGGGGGGGGGGTGGGGGGGTTGGGTGGGGGATTGTGGGTTGGTGTGGGGGGTGGGGTGGGTGGGGGGTGGGTTGGGGGTGTGGTTGGGGGGGGGTGTGTGGGTGTGGTTGGGTGGGGTGTGGGGTTGGGGTGGTGGGGTGTGGGGGTGGGTGGGGGGGGGGGGGGTGTTGGGGGGGTGGGGGTGGGGGGGGGTGGTGGGGTGGGGTGGTGGTGGGGGGGGGTGGGGTGGGGTGTGGGGGTGTGGGGTGGTGGGGTTGGGTGGTTGGGTTGGTGTGGGTTGTGTGTTGTGTGGGTGTGTTGGGGTGGTGGGTGTGTGGGTGGTGGTGGTGTTGGGTGGGGGGGGGGGTGTGGGGGTGGGGTGGGTTTGGGTTGTGGGGGGGGGGTGGGTTGGGTGGTTGGGGGTGGGGGTGTGGGGTGGGTGGGGTGAGGTGGGAGAGTGTGAGGTGTGAGTGTGAGAGTGTGTGGATTCTGTTTGTCCTTTGTTTTGAGGTGTCTCTTTATTGTATTGAGGAGTTAGTATATAGAGGGGTGGAGGAGGTTGAGGGGAGATGTCAGTATATGATATGATATATATATCTGTGGGGGGGGGGGGTATATAGGGGGGGGGGGTAGAGGATATAGTTATCATCTATGTTAGTGGGGGGATGGGTTTTGTGGTTGTAGGGTGTGTGGTAGTGTGTGTGTGGGGGTGTGGGTGGTGGTTGGGGGGTGGGGTGTGTTGTGTATTGATTGTAGGATAGTGAGTGTGTTTCTATGGGGTGGTGATGGTGTGGGGGTCTGTATTAGATGATAGTTTTGTGGTATTATAGTTTATTTATTGTGGTGATTGTTGGGGGGTGGTTGGTGGAGAGTGAGGGGGAGGGTAGGGGGAGGTGTAAGAAGTAAGTAGGGAATGATTGGGTTGGTTGTGTGGGGATATGGGTTAGTAGTGTGATGAGGGTTGATATGGTTTGGTGGTGAGGTAGTGTGGTTGTGGGGAGATTTAGTATGTGGGGGATGACTGTGTGTGTGTGTTTTTTTGAAGGGGGGCTGAGATGTGGAGTGAGAGGTTGGGAGAGTGGAGTGTGTATCCAGGAGTAATTCTTGATGGTGACATGCCGTCGATGCACACATCTCAAGCTGAGGAGTCCTCTTCAGGCAGATGGCGTTTCGGAGGCGTGGGGGCCGAATGGTACTTCTCACGGTACATAAAAGAAGGTGTATTGCTTGTGCACATTCAGACTAGTGGGACACACACGAAGTTCAATGGTCAAATCTAGTGGAACGATTGAGAGGCGAGTGGTGCCAGACGTCACATTTATGTGACCGTGATAGGGTTGACTCTCTATAGTAGAGCAAAAGGTGTAGAGTGAGCGACATTTGGGTTTATGGAATGGGTGTAGAATGAGGGATTGGGGAATAATGGGGTTGGGGGTACATTGGAGCGATGAGGAAGGAATGTGGAGAAGGAGATTGGGGGTTGGTTGGGGTTTAGTGAGATGACAGTGGATTCATGTGTATTACCTTGGTACTCGTGGTATTATATAGGTGGATTCCGTCGAGTGTCGTATTGTGCGTAACACTGAACGTACTTCATAATGTATCATGGTGAGATGTGGACACGTCGATTGTTCTGGGCGGTTTGGTGCACTGTCAGTGTTTGTCATCACGGATACCCATCTATCTATATATCTCTCTCTTCTTTGTACGAGCGTGAGGATTGGTTCATCTTGGAAATAGAGGTTAACACATGACGAGGACTTGTACGGTGTGAGTGAGTAGTTAGGGCATGAATACAAGAGTTATGAGGTTGTAGAAGGAAGGGTAGGTTGTGTTTGTAGATAGTATTGGTGAGGTGGTGTTTTGTTAGTGGGTATGGTATGGTTATGCATAAGTTGGGAGGGGTGTAAGGATGGGGGGGTGGTAGTTAAATATGATAGGTGTTGTAGGTTTCAGGGTTCTTGAATGTTTACATTGTATATAGTATAATTTATTTAATTTTTTATTTTGTATTGTTGTCTTTTTTTAGTTTTTTTGTTGAAGAATTGTTATCTCATTAGTATTTTTTTATATTTTGATGTACCAAAATTTGGGGGAGATGTGCTCTTTTATAGCAATTTTTTGGTTTTTCAAGTATTTGTCGGAAAGTAGAAAATAGTAGAGGAAAGGGAAAAACTTTTATCGATGATGGATCCCGCCATCATCCAATACCTCAAATCCCGTAGAAAGGATGTTCCGGTTGAAACAAGAAATTTGCCAATAAGTGAACAGAATAAAGCAGCGAACGATTTTAATTTTGAAGAAATAGAAACCACAAGCGAAATTTTAAACCAACCAGCAGCCGAAAAATGGCTGAACTTTGATATTATTGAAACAAATAAGCTTGCTTGGATGAAAAATATAGACATTCCGAAACTTAAGGCTGAAAAATTTGAAGCAAGGTATTTATTACACAGCTGAGAAAATGCCTTTCGCTATATTTATGCACTCGAATTAAATGAAAAATTAAAAAGTCGAAATACCCTTTATAATTTATCATATTGGTTGGAATTGGTCATCATCACACAGCCAAATTTGTCCACTGTCGAACATAGGCCTCCTCAAGATGTCTCCACTCTTCTCTGTCCTGTGCAGCTGCGATCCAGTTTGTCACTATTCTTTTAATGTCGTCCGTCCATCTGGTAGGTGGTCTTCCACGATTTCGCTTGTCTGCCCTTGGCCGCCATTCTAAAATCTTCTTTGTCCATCTGTTGTCTCTCTGTCTTGCGACGTGTCCTGACCATTTCTACTTCAACTTCGTAATCCGTTTTATGACGTCTTCCACTCCAGTTCTTCGCCGTATCTCATCATTTCGTATTCGGTCTCTCAAAGTTACGCCAAGCATAGATCTTTCCATTTTTCGTTGTGCTACTTGTAACTTTTTTTATTGATGCTTTAGTCAATGTCAATGTTTCAGCTCCATAAGTGAGCACCGGAAGTACGCACTGGTTAAATGCTTTTCTCTTTAGCTTTATTGGGATGTTTTCCTTAAACACGTCTTTTAGCTTGCCATAGGCTGCCCATCCTAAAGCTATTCTTCTAGATAATTCGCCATGTTTGGTTTTCTCTACTTATTTGTATTTCGTGGCCCAGATATATGTATTTGTCAACCTTTTCAATATTCCAGTTTTCTAGTTTCAATGGTCCACTAGGTACTAAGTTGGTCATCATTTTAGTTTTCGCAAAGTTTATTTCCAGCCCTACTTTTTGGGAGACTCGTTGTAAATCTTGTAGCATTTCGTTGGCCTCCTTTAAGTCGTCGGTTATTAGAACTATGTCATCTGCAAATCGTAGGTGGTTCAGCCTTTCGCCATCGACACTCATACCTCTGTTTTCCCATTCTAACATCTGGAATGCATGCTGCATTACGGCATTGAATAGTTTTGGTGACATGTTGTCCCCTTGTCTAACTCCCCTTTTTAGTTTTATTTTTTGAGTAGGGGTGTGGAGGTTTATTGCTGTTGTGGCATTTGCATATATATGTATATATATATATATATATATATATATATATATATATATATATATATATGTTGAATAATGCTGGTTTATCGGTAGTCGATTCTACAATCTCTCAAAGCTCTTAAGATAGCTACCATCTCGATAGTGTCAAAGGCTTTTTTATAGTCAACAAATACTAGAACTAGTGGCCGGTTGTACTCTTGGTACGGAATTGGTAATCATAAAGAAATGGTAAATTCAATATGACTGTAGATCTATGACACGTGGGCTTTCTCTCAGCTGTTATCTATCTAGTATCGACGCTATCTATTAATTATTTTAAATATAAAAAATTCTTATTTTAGATTCGATTCTGGAGGATGGATATTGCCTTATTCTCAATCGGAGATTACAGAAAAGGATCGAATGTTGTATCATCACGGAGAAGAACCGGGAAGACCAGGCTACACTTTACAAGAACTTATTCAACTTTCTAGGTTAGTACTTTGAGTATGGATTTGATAAAATATGTTTACCTCATCGAGTTAGAATCTATGGAGAGGGCATCACGTGACTAAAAACGACCTCACTTCGGCCATATTGTTATGATCGTTTTGACAGATCGTGTATGATTGTTTACATTTGTTATTTTTCGAATATTTTGGGTTTTATAATACTTTTATAGAAACTGTAATATTATATTGTGATAGTGCATAATAATGGTTTCTTGTTCTCAACGTAGTTGCAGTAGCAGAAGCAATGTTAATAAAAAATCTTCAGGAATAACGTTCCACAGGTTAGTATATAAATATGCAAACAAAGTAATGGGCCGTGCTTCAGAGAATAAATTAACAGTATTCATAAAAAAATCTTACAGTATTTTAGAAAAGTTTCTCGATTAATTTTTTCAGTCATTATTGAATATTTTTAAAATTTTCCAAAACACCAATTAAAACATTAACTTCCAATAAAATATAAGTAATGAATACACAGAACATAAAGATACTAATAAAAAATTGTAAGCATTTTATAATATTTTTTAGTTCAATAATCATATTTTTTATTTAAAATATAATTTTGTTATTAATACTTAGTGATGTATATAATTGTATTTTTAGGTTCCCAAAAGATCCTGAAAAACGAGACATATGGATCAACTTTGTTAACAGAGGAATATGGAAACCAATAAAATTTATTGTTTTATGTTCAAAACAAAAAAATTTCGTTTTTTTAATAACTTTTCAAACTTTGTTAATTGAACTTAATTTTTAAGTGTCCGTTAATTTTTTTTTTCTTTTTTTGTTAAGTTGATTAAATCTTTTGAACAACTAGTCATATTTGTATAGTAGTTTTAATATTATTGAGTCAAGCTCTGATCCCACCGCCATATTGGTATGATCGATAGCCACAACTACTGACGCCGTTTTTAATATACACTTTAATATGCTTATAGCTTCTCCATAGATTCTAACTCGATGGTTTACTTTAAGCTTGTTTTCAATTGATATATAATTTTTTCTTCCTTACTATTATCACCTAGAGCCCTAGTTGAGCCTCAACTTTCCCTAGCATGTTTTACGTCCTAGTCTACACACCTATAAAGCTCAAAGATATATAGCCTCCTCCAGGTGCCGTTTTCACAGTTTGCATCAAATATTCTTCTTACGATCTTTCGGTCATAAGTTGATGATTTGCACCTGTCTTAAAAATAGTCCATCTTTCAGACTGATATGCCAACACTGAAGGAAGTGGATTTTCTATTGATAGTTTGATTTCTTGACCTTCTTTATGTGTTTGCTTAATCCAAAGTAATCTTTTACTACTAGTATACTTTCTATTTCCTCGTAGAGTTATCATTACCTCAAAGTTTTAGTTTTTCAGTGTAGGATATCTGACTCATAGGTCGTCATCAGTACGGTGCAGCCAACTAAGAATAGGAAAAACTTTTGAAACCATCATTACAGGAACAATGTAACCTATTTGCGGCTATACTGTCGGAAGACTCGGAGCTACAACTGACAAATTCCCACGGAGACCAAAAGTCTGGAAACGCCAAATTATCTCTTAAATGTATGGTCCGAATTGTACAAAAACTGGGATACGCCTAATCTGCAATATGCAGATTTTAAATTTGATGCTTGGAATGTTACCAGATTTTACCATTTTTCTTATATCGTTAATCACTTTCGTTTAAAGACTTTTAGTCCACTATATATATATATATATATATATATATATATATATATATATATATATATATATATATATATATATATATATACATATATATATATATATATATATATATATATATATATATATATATATTATAAGTAAACAAAGAAATCCAAATATTATGTTATGCATACGACGCCGCATAATCGCCGAGATAGAAAATGAGCTCCAAAGATTAACACACATCTTCAATACCATAGCCAAAAAATACAATATGATAATATTAGCAGAAGAGAACAAATGTATGACAACTTCTAAATTCCCACTACGATGTAAAATCGAAATTGATAGGAAAATAATAAGACAGGAAGCAATGTTTAGATATCTGAGAATAGATATAACTAGTTCCGGAGATGTTGAAGAAGAAGTACGACAACAAAGCTTAAAAGTAAGTAAAGCGGCGGGATCTCTTAATGACACAATCTGGAAGAACAAACACCTAGGACAAGACACAAAAACAAGAATCTATAAAGCAGCAATTAGACCTATATTAACATACACGGCGGAGACAAGATCTGATACATCTAAAACGAGACGACTACTAGAAACAACAGAGATGAAAATACGACGAATATCAGGGAAAAGTCTGTTGGATAAGGAGAAAAGCGAAAACATAAAAGAGCATGCGATATAGAGAGATAAATGGATGGGTGACAAAACGGAAACAGGAGTGGAACGAACACATTACTAGACTGGCAGGGGATAGGATACTACGAATGGCACGAGATATGTCACCAAATGGACGAAGAAGTATTGGCAGACCAAGAAAAAGATAATGCAATAATTTAAACAATTTAGTAGGCTAATATTTGCTTTAAAGCCTACATACAAGAGAGGATGAAGAAGAAGATATTAAAGTCCATAATGTCCACTACTACTACACTAAGTCCATGGTAGTGTGTACTTGATGTTAGCTAAATTCATTAATTAGTTTACGAGGTTTTTAGAATTCGTCACAATATCTTTTCTATGAGATAGGATTATTAATCTTACGTCTAACCCTATATCCGGGCTTGGGACCGGCATTCAACACTCTTCAGAACTCAACAAAGATGGAGTTTTTCTTCATTAAACTTGCCTTTAGTGTGTCCTCAAGAAATATCGATATATATATATATATTTATATATATATATATATATATATATATATATATATATATATATATATATATATATATATATATATATCCGGTTTTTTAGGCGTTACGCCTGTCCGGTAGGGATCTATGGAGGAGTATCACCAAGCCGCAAGCCCTTATCTCTTGCCGTACTGCTCCACCATAGGCCGATCAGATCCCAGCATATCCTAATCTAAGCCGCAGATTCATCTAGAATTTTAAACTGCTGCGTTAGACTTTTTGTTTTCTGTACACCGAGTTTGGGCTCGATCCCACATCCACTAAACCATTCGACAGTGAAGCGAATGAGAGGCAGCCGCACAGCCCGCTGAGCTATCTGACCGACTTTTATATATATCTTATAAAAAAATGTCCATAATTTTAGTTCTTCATGGCTGTCTGATAGGATATTTAACAGTATGTTAATATTCAGAGCCCGATATCATTTTGTGGGAATATACTTTAAGCCATGCTTTTGTACACACTTCGAAATTTTAATTTAGATTTTTTTTTGTAATTTTAGGTCTTCTATCATTCAACAACAAATCTTTGCGTTAAACACAATCGCAAATATTATGTCTTTATATTCAACAGGAGTCTATGACGAAATAATAGATTTACCACTTGAACAAATTTTCTTCAGTACGCGTTATAGCATGGATGAAAATACTGTACCTGTTCTGAATGCTAGTATTAAAGTTATGAGAAATTTGATATACTCACATGTAGATGAAACTTGTTTAGACAGTCTTCTGGGATTTGGCCTGGGATTCATTCAGCCCATTTTGACTGTGGATTCTGATATGGAAGATGATACTACTGTTAATGATCAACAATTGGTAGAAAAGGATATTATTTTATGCTTGGTTCGGACAAATATATTGATAAGGATAAGGTAACATTTTTCATCAGACATTCACGAAATATTATTAAAACAAACATTAACATAAAATAAAATAAATTAAAAATAGAGTTTACAGGTGAAATCGTTATTATATTGAAAAGTTTACAATATACGTTAATGAGATCGTTAGTATTAATATTATTGGCGACGTGCAAGTACTTGGAGGGGATACGAGAAACGATCGTGCGCGAGTAGCGGAGAAATTTTGCATTTTTTACTGCACATTTTATAGATTTCATAAATTCATATTGTCAATTGTCATATTTCATATTCGTTTTGTTTATTTACATTTACACCTTCTGTCTCTGAAGAAAATGGGATTTAGGAAATGCTGTGTTATAAATTGTAAAAATACAACAAAAAATTGTCAATTTAAGTTTTATTCGTTTCCAACTTCGAAGCACAAAGCTACTACAAAGAGAAAAGTGGATTTATATCATAAAAAAGCATAAGTAACATAACCTAAATTATGCATTATTCTTGCGCCCGATTTTAGAGAGTTCATTTTAACCCAAAAATCAAGTTTAATGTTTAAATTTTATTTTTTTGAAGTTTACAAGAATGCATCAAGTTCAAGTTTTTCTGAAGATGCATTAAGATGTATTCGCTGTCCAAAAGTTTACAGGGAAAGAATTAATTGTTCAAACCAATATGATGATATCATGGGCTTAACCTGCTAATTTATACATTAGCATTATTTATGGTAATTTATTTTTCTTAATTCTTCCATTATTTTTTGACATTTGCCACTACTAAAGCTTTTCCCTTTGACTCAGTGCTTGGTTGAAAAGTTATTTGGTGATTTACTTTCTCAAATCCAGTTTTTATTATTGAATCCATATTAACAGTAATGCTGTAATTCAATAATATATTTATTTGTATTTACGCTACATCAACGTTTACCCTTTAATAACATACCGACATAACCTCAATCTTACTTTTTCTTCTTATTCTTTTTTGGGGCCACGTCCTTGACAGTTATCCGGTTACCTCGATCTAACATAAAAGCGCAGTAAATTTTGCTGATTTACGTCACCAGGTGTCGCTGTTCCGAACTTGCACGGTCCCAATAAGTAATTCCTTTTTGAAGCCTTTTTTGTTTATATTTACAATATTTACTTAGTGAAACAAGTGGCCAATTTTGTTGAAGCGGTAGACTAAAACAGTGTTTTCTTTTGTTTCATCACTAACACTGAGCCAGAATTGACTAATCGTCTTTCGGGTTTGAATTATGCCTTCTTTGGACAACCTGTACCGTAGCTTATCTCAACATCTCAAAAGCCGAGAGAGGAATTCACGCACAATGACGAATAATCAACACATTCAAAGGTGAAATATAAATCTGTCAAAACCAGCACTAGTCCGGGTCGTTCAAGTTGTCGTATATTGTTTCATCCCCGATGGGTAGGGTTGATGTTACTACTCGTCGCATCTATTGGTGCGTTCTGGCGGATAGTGTACAGTTGGGACCCAGATGGGAGATAAGAACTAGCTTTTCCCTCAATTTATGTTCTTGGGATGCTTAAGGGTTTCTAGACATATTGGCGTATATTCGCTTCTTGAATTTGTATGGACTAGAAATAGGAATACTTCGAAAGAATATGGGATTTTTCAAAGAATATTGAATACCTTGTATCTTGGCTAGCCATATTATGTCATTGCATAATGGGATAAGAGGTCAGATATAATGCATCTTAGATGCTGTCGGATTCCAGTTTTGCAGATGTATACGTGGTCACTCGGACAGGGGATGGAATATACACCACAAGAAGAGAGAGATAATGGTGGATTTGTGTTGTTTTTGTGTTTTGTATAGTGTGCTATAAATTGTATCGCTTATTCTATCCGAACGACTGCAACACCTGAGACAAGTACCAATCCTACGGACATGAGAATTTCTTTTTATTTGACTCACCGAATAAACGATTTCTAGGAGATCAAAGGGCGGAGCTGAAGGAACTAATTTACCCTAAACACATCGATAAGAATATATGAATTGATTATCTGAAGATTAGATAAGATTATAAGAAGTTATATACAGAGGAATAACAAATGAAGTTGGAGCCACAAACAGCAGAAATTACCATAAATGAAGAAGCTCACATAAACCAGCAGGAAGTACAAATAAAACTTGAAAAACTTAAGAACAGAAAAACTGCGGGTAAAGATGGGAAAACAAATGAATTTTTGAAATGTGGAGGGGTAAGGACGGATCAACTCACAACATCAATTATCAAGACTCAATAAAATACCAGAAGAATGAAGGGCAAGCGAGCTAATCCTATTGTTTAAAAAGGGCGATAAGAAATAACCAGAAAACTACAGAGGTGTCAATTTGCTAAATACTACCCTGAAACTTACAACTTAAATCTTGCAAGAACGAATAAAGCAGCTCATAAACTTAGCAGATGAGCAATATGGTTTCCGTAGGGGAAGATGTGCAAATTCAATATCCGACGTAAAACAGATTATAGAAAAATAATTAGAATACAATAGATACGCATTCCTATGTTTGATCGACTTAAAGAAAGCATTTAAAAGCGTATAATAGACAGATCTCGCTGGATATTATAAAAACAATTGAAAACGTCTATCAAAACAACAAGATAGAAATCGGAATAGATGCACAACTTACGGAATCTACAGATACAGGCAATAGAGTAATACATGACGATTCACTAAGCCCTATCCTATTTAATTGAATCATGGATGAAGACATAAAGAGTTTCAACAAACATGACGATTTTAACTCAAAAAACTAAAGCAATAGTTATCAATAAAGAACCAATAAGAGGTAAACTGGAAGTCAAGTGAGTTAGTATTAAACAAGTAATGGAAATAAAGTACCTAGGGATACCACTGTCCAGCTATGCAGAAGTTGAAAAATAAGTTGGAGATCAACTACAAAGAGCACATAGATTAGCAGGATTCTTTAATAACACTATATGGCGTGACAGAAACAATGTGTAACTGATATTTATTATTTCCTATTAACAATGTTTAAATTTATTATTGTTCAATATGCGTAATTCCAAAGTTTTTTCTTTTTGTGCTTCTTCCTATCGACGGCTTAAGTGCAAAACGTAGTAACCCACAGCAGTTGATAAATACCATGCAAAATAAATATGAAAATGGTCCCGATCAAGCAAAAGTGGTTATTTCCATAATATAGCACTAAACTAGGTAGCTTCAAACAAAATTCGATAATTCCTGTTAATATCTTATGGGTGCTGTCAGAATTCAGTCATAAGTTGATAAGTGCACTTCGGGATCACTGTAATATATTTTCATGGTTGACTGCTTCGAAAACTGTTTGGCTTACTGCTTCGATCTACAACAAGTCTAATTCTTGTCCAAAACAGCTGTTTTGGATGCTTTCTACTTAAGGCAAATAAGTAGGCATTTGGAAGGGTCGAAAAGTTATTGATGAAAGAGCCATTTATCAAGACAAAAGAACAATACCATAAAATTTATAAAGAAATGGTAGAAGTCTATGTTTTGGAAAAATATTGGAATCATATGGATATTAAAAGTCTAGAAAAATCCTTTAAAAAAATGACAGGAATAAGTTACATGAAAAGAATAATAATAGAGAAGAGTACTCAAGACTCCAGAATTAAGATCCTGGTACGAGGATATCAGCATTATAGAGTAGATATTGACATAGAGGGAATCAGAATTTGTGCAAGAGAGGAACAAAGCTATTTAACCTTATTCTTCCAGAATTAAAAATTTCTCGCCTATTACCCCCTAAAAGAAATGATAACATCTTATCCTTATTGAAGGCAGAATATGGCGAAACTTGGGATGCAGATACTGATTTAGCATGGTACAAAAATTTGTTCAGAAAACGCCAAGATGCAAACTGTCATGAAAAGTTCTAAGTGGGAACTTGAAGAACTCTGTTCATGTTTTGACGAAGTTCCACGTTTTCACCTTTAGTTGTGTGTTTTTTTTTAAATACTTTTTTTAAATTCTTTAGGACATATTTATTTATAACGATCATAGTCACGAAAACAAAAATAAAATCAATCAAAACTCAATATTTACGTTAACCTATTCAAACAAAACTTAATAAGTCCATAAGATTCAAGCAAAAGTTGTCAATTGCAAAAATTAATTTGGTTTTTTAGGGCTGTTATAGCATTTAATTTACCGCAAAATTATTATATGAGCTAATGAAAGTAATGAACATTTTAAAGGTATTTATCCGCATAAAAAATTTAGATGCTTCAAAAAGACAATAACAAAAGAACTAGTTTCTCAAAATTGGTTAAATTGGACTTATGCTCTTTTGCGTGAATACTCTTCAGTTATGTGCTTGCGAATACGATACTTTGCACTTAAGCTATTGCTACGAACTTTTGTATTCCTACTCATCGGAGGATATTTTTCTAATTTGGTATATTCCTGTGATGCACTTAAATATAAAACAATTAAATTTCAAACTGTCAGAAGTATCTGGCTGAGAGAAATATTTAATTGACTTAAATAATAAACCAAAGTGTATTGATCATTTTATAAACGTTATATTATATTATTGTAGATACATTATAAACACAGTTAAACCTTCACTAGAGACCATAACTTACTGCTTGGAAATACTAATACGACTTGCAAGGGGTTCAGATTTTATAGTGAACAGAATCATAGAATGCGATAGCCTTATAGAAAGTATTGTAACACATTGCCTTCCGTTAGTTATGACAAAAAGTAAGTTTCAGTTGTTCCTTTTTACAATTTTATTTTAAAGCAATTTTTAATTCCTCAGATGTGCCTACTTCTGGAAATGGATTTCCAATTTTTCAAGCTGTTAAACTATTAAGAATAATTTCATGCAGAAGTAGAACACTAGCTTTAAACATTATTAACAAGTAAGGGATTTTTTTTTCAATTTATCTTATTGAAAATTCTAGTTTTAGATATTTTTATAGCTATTTGTTCTCTCAGATTGGACTGTAGCAGGTATATGGCTATGCATTTAAAATGGAAATGCCTTGTTGAAATTACTTTTTTTTGACGTTTTGATTTCAACTTCCAAAAATTTGAGAAAGATTTCCAAAGTGGAAGTCGACATGTAAACATAAACGTATTTTAAACTAAAATTGTGGTTAATTCCTATTAAAGATATTAAATGCCACAAACATAGCTTCAGAACATGTTGAGGAAGCTGATGTTTCAGTGAAACATGTAAAGTTACCTGTATTTTGGAAATTCCACCAATTAAAGAAAATGCCAATATTCTGTTTTACTTTTTATGTTGTATTATTTTTTATATACTTGAATATTATATATTTTGTTAAACTAAGAAAAATAATTTGTTTATTATCTTTTTAGGCACAAAGTACTAGACTCTATACTTATGTATCTTTCCAATGATTTTTTTTCTTCAGACATCACTGGCATAAGGTTACAGACAGAATGCATCCATTTTTGGAGTGTTCTAGTGCATTATGGATTAGCTATGGACTATTTTAGGTAGGTAAATAGCTAGGTGTGTAATGGAATAGAATAGCAAAAAAGTAAGCCTCTTAACTAGTAATTTGAGTGTCAAATCGCACTAATACACAAGATGCCAGTAATAAAGAACATAAATAGACTACTAGCCTTCGCAAACTATGTTACCATACTAGAGAACGCTGTAAAACGAAAAATATTTTCATATTTTTATTACTTTTATTAATATTATTTTCAAATCAATATATTAAAAATATTCCTAATCCGATAAAACTTGCTATCGTATAATGTGTTTGATTGCTACTAATAACGCAGTATTTGCAATATTTCAGATAGAAAATTACTTTTCTTTCTTTTTTTTTGATTTGCCTCCTGCAACTCATCAAAGGGCCCGAACTCAAAAGTAGGCGATTGGAAATATCCCTGTTACAGCTTTCTCTTGAAAATTTCCGTGCGAAATCTTGACTATCAAACCGGAAGTGCTTGTTGCGCACTTCTGCGGCTTCTTCAGTGAGCTTCTCAATTGGCAATAACGCATTTTTTTATAATTGCACCATGCACGAGTATTTTGTGCAATGTGGGCGTCATGGGATGCCATGGATAGATAACAATATATAAACGAGCAGTTTCTTTTGCGTAAATGTTGTATTGTTCATGATTAATTTTATGGCCGCTTGAAATAGTCTCCAAACCTCTGATTTTTAACCTGTATATAAATTCGTAAATAATACCCGTAATTCCTAATGCAATTTTGGGATCCTTGAAAAATCTTCGGCATGTGTTTCCATCATTTGTGTAGTCGAAATACGCCTTTTGAAGGTGCACCGCAAATGTAACATCGATTTGTCGGTCTAATTTCTGAGGAGGTGTAGGACCTTTGCGTTCACCATTGTCATTATAAATTCATGTTCGACTCTAAATTATTGGCCACATAAGTCAAAATGATATCACTGTTCTCTTTGACGAGCCTAAACCTTATTGGCCGAAAAAACCTAGGAGACGAGGGTGTGGGGATATCCCATACAGTTTTTTCATTTTTTTGCCCACGTTCTAATTTTAAAGGAAGAAGCAAATTTGACAGATGTTTGACCCATTTCCACCGCCCCATTTGCAGATTTATTCTAGGGTTTACCTATCCTTTAATGTTAATAATACCTCTTCCAGCTTCTTAATAATAATCGGCTAACGGTAAGATCAATCAAAGGCTTTTAGGATATCCAGACATCCAGTACATTCTTTTACGGCCTGGATTTCTGCGTCCTTGGATTTTTCCTTGCGTTATATTTTGTAGGAATGTGTACTTTTGTCCTTTATTCAGGTGGCCTAAGTATTCAAGTTTTCTCTTTTTTATATTCAGTATAACTTCTGGATCGTTATTTATTCTGCGTATTACCTCTTCATTTATAATTTTATCCACCCAACTTATTTTTAGTATACGGCGGTAGCACCACATCTCAAATCTTCCAAGATTTTTAATATTCCTATGCATCAACAATTTACTCATATAAATTACCATCATTTTTCTACTCGTTTTGTCGAGTAAGAACGAAAACAAAATAAATATATGTAGACGGTTGCGTTTGGATTTAAGCCGAGTCTCTTACCATTCTTACCATTCTCTTGCACGAGTTTCTGGGTCTAGTTGTCATCAGAGAGACTTGTAAAAAGACTAAAACCAAATCCAAACGCACCGGCAGGATGGCAATTATATTATTATTATTATTACAAGCTTCATTCCACAAGCGAAACGTCTTCAAATATAGAAATGGAACTGAGATTTCCTTGTATTATTTCTCCTTTGACCGATATCCTCGTGATCAAAAGATTTTTTCTTTTGAAACTTACTTTATTGAATAATCGTTTGACGGTCGTACTCCTTTATATGGATCTTTATATATATATATATATATATATATATATATATATATATATATATATATATATATATATATATATATATATATATATATATATTGTTGTACTTTTGAATGTCCATTAGCAATAAAAAACCGATATACAAATTTTATTACTTAAATAAAAATTAAAATTATTGATATTTCATAAAGACACGGGCATATAAATTTTCAAACATCCTGTATAAGACAAAATATGTATTTTAAGTTGTTCGAAGAATTGTTCATTAGGCCTCAGAGACAAGACTTTCAAATATTATCGATAAGAAATTTAAATAAGTCGGCTATTGTGGAATGTATTTACCCAGAATAAAAGTGTATATAGACAGTGTTTAAACAATAGACCGGGATTTGCGGTGGTTTTTCTCCCGAAAGATTATATCGGTAAAAGTTTATTAACAAAAGACATTGAATTGAGAAACAGGTATCGTTTGTAGCTATTAGTAAGAAATATTTGTAAAGCAGATAGATTTAGTTAGAATAATTAAAGAATGTTGTTTTCTGGAATTACCCGAATGACGTTTTATAAAGAGAGTTGGTTGGTAACGATATACGTCACAGAGGTGGATGATTTTTATTGGTCAATTTTTGAATGCAATGGAGGTAGTGGTTTTGGCTATGAGATAGGAGAGAGGAAAAAAGTTAGTTAGTCAGTTTTCGTCGCCCAAGAAGGAAGGAGCTTTGTGTTTGTTTGAAGTCCCGAAGACGTAATTTACCGGGTGTGTTTATTTGCTGTGTAAAATCTGATCAGTGTGAGGAACGGGGTACAGAGAGATAGAAAAACCAAAGGGTATAAGAATATTAATATCAGACGAAGCCGGAAACATTTGAAGTTATAAACAGGCGCGCCAAGGAGGCTGCATAGAATTACACGAGTTGTTGGGTTGCAGATACAAGGACAGATAGGAGAAAGGTGTACGTCATCTGGACCACAATAGGAGCAGAAGCAGAGAAAGGTTTTTTTTATGGCGTGGCCATAGAATTACAACGGCAGAGAACGAAAGGTCAGTCAATTTTCATTAGAGCAGGAGTGTGGTTTTCATTTATTAATTAAATAAATTGAATAAATAATAGAGACAGTTAATTTTGCGATCATTTAAAGAAAAAAATTATAAAGAGAGCTTAGTTATAACACATATTAAAAATCAATGTAAAATAACATTTGGGTCCATGATAGAAAACAACTTCTCATATATTTAAAGTATTATATTGCAAATATTACAGCATTGATTGTCATATAAAATTTCATTAAAATAAAGGACATCTCACATATAGTTCAGTTGAAATTCTGTGTATGTTATTCAGGTCATATTACCTATCCCAATTAGGAAGCCAATTGGAAAATATTTTGAATCCACGATCAAAGGTAAATAGTACAAGTTAAATAGCCTGAGATTGTAATTAATTAATGCTGATTTATTGTGATTAATTGGAGATTAGATCATTTAATAAATATAGACAGGATCTTTTCTAAATAAGCAATAGAATACAATTTAAATAGCATAACAATATATATATATATATATATATATATATATATATATATATTATATATATATTTATATATATATATAAACGGTCGTCATTTTGAAATTACTTTATAGAACAACACACAAGAGAATAAAATAAATAAAAAACGGCTTGATATAATAGGGTGACCTAAAACCTTTCAACTTAGTTACTATTTGTTTGTCAGATAATCATAAAATAATTTACAAAGTGGCCCCCATTCGTACAGGTGCGGTAGTTCTGTTAGTCAAAAATTTCTTTATTAAAGTGTTATGATTCAGAAAAGAATTATAGGGGCAGACTTTAGAACTGCACTAATCTTATTATTATTTTATGAATTTTATGTCTACTCTTGCTAATATTCTCAGACCTACTGAAGTATTGGACGGTTGTTTTTATTGTCATTTTATTTTATTTTTTAGTGCTTTACAACCTGTTCTATTATCTTTTCTGGATTACCATTATAAAAATTCAGATTTGGAAATGAAAACGACCTATATTCGTTTGGGACATGTATCGGCCGTATTAATTTTATTGACCAATATTATAAAACAAAACTTTCCTTTGATAATACCATTTATGCCGATAATTAATCGGTGTGTTCCAAAATGGACTACACAGTTATGTAACTTAACAGAGTACACGGTAAGTAATTCTTTAGATCGTTAGAGCAACAATACAGTTGGTTATGTAGGTTGTTTTAATATTATCTTCGTGGTCGATATTTTTAAATGTACAGTTATTTAATTATTTGATGATTAAGTTTTTACTTATTTCCATGTCTAGAAAAGTCTTTCCAGCTATGTCACGAAAAGACGTAATTTTTCGCCCATTTTAATCATAATTCGCTACATGCTTCCATGAGTAATGAGGTAATACTGAATTACAAATAAATTTTTAGTAACAGCAGTGACCCATGCTCCAATTATCCGTGCCAAAAAAACTTGAATATTGCTAACTAATGGCTCGAATGCGATATTAGTTTCTTCGCCTGAGTCATAAGCTTCTAGAGGCTCCTGAATGCAATTTGCTCCATCACAGTCCGACTTGGAATCGAAATATTCTTCATTTTTGTCGACAATTTGGTTGGAAGAACAATTTGCTAACTGATAACTGAAAATCGTTCTCAAAATACAAAGCATTAATAATTTTTTTTAACGTTTTGTATTTTGAAATTGATTTCCGGAGGGCAAATCAAAACTTTAAAATAAACTTGTAAAATTGTGGCTTATTTTCAATAAAAATAGTAAGCTGTCATTTAAATCAATTCGACCAAACTTGATTGAACATATTTTTCAAATGCCAAAAAGACGAACGGTCAAATAAAAACAATAAGTTTGACAACAATGTTAAACTTCCCCTCTCGATATACTCCACTATCTAAATTTCGACTGGGTTCTTATAATCCTATGCCGATTTAAATATTCCTTTCTCACTTCCTCCTGTTGAAAGCGCATACCCACGTTAAATTCTTTTCAGTACTGTATATTTACACTCTCTTATACAGTCTCTGTATCTTAAGACGTGCATGGGTGTATACATTTACTTTCTCTTACGCAGTGTCTGTATCTCAAGCTCATTGCCATAGGAATACTGTCTTTTACTCTCTCATTCTTTTACACACCACTGTAAACTACTGTGTATTTGGGATATAGTATGTAACCTTTCCCTTTCTCTTTAACTAATGCGTCACAATTTTAAATTTAATAAATAATGTCTTTCGTTTTTAGTGTGGAAAATTACAATTGGTAGCATCTTTAATATCTTGTATGACAGCTTTAAGACAGTATCAACAAATAGACGAGTTTGATAATCGTATACTACAAATATTAAATTCTCAAGGTTTTAGAATGGTTACAGATAAAATTCAGTAAGTAAAATTATTAACACCAAATTTTTAATTTAGTTTGTTAATAAATTGCAATATTATTGTCAGTTTGTTTTTTGTTTTATGACATGTGAATCGACGTTTTTCCGCTTATAGTCCAAAAAATAAGGTATTCCCATGACTTTGACCTGGCCAGGTATCTGACAATTTTTTTGAGTTTTGTGGACCTCATGTGGACCAGTTGATAACCCAAACCTCTATGTTGCTTGCAGTGCGTTAGGTGGACTTGTTAAATTATTAAGAATTTAAAGCCAAGAATGCACTATTTTAAGAACTTTGCTTTACCAGTAAAAAACCATACATTTTAATGAATTTGGAGGTAATTATTTGATAAAACACCTTTAAAGATTTGAAATGGCGATTTTCGAATGTTGATTTACTAATTTGTTGATTAGAAAACTGTACAAATCCTAAGAATTCTTAATTTTCAATAAATGTTAATAACTATTGTAAAAATGAACCTACAACGTTGACATTTAGACGTAGGGTCTAAGTGTTAAAAGTCTGGTTAAAATTTCAGAGTGATGCATCAATTAGTTAAAAATATATTCAAATTCTTTATTCCGTTTATTTCAGTTTAAAAAAAACAACTTACAATGAACAATGATTCTAAGGATAGTATAAGCAAGGGAGGGAGTAATTCTATCAAAAGAATCTTCCAAAACCAAAAGAAGGTTTTGGTTTGTGAGGTCTATAAAACTCAAAAAACTTGTCATATCTGGGTACCTGGCCACGAAAAAGTCCCCAATATGGTACTTTTTAACCTTATTGCAAAGCCACAAAATTTAAAATAAAATCTTTGTAATTGACTATAGATTGTATATTTTAAAATTATATTTTTACAAGAGTCTTCGACCTGGAAGACATTAAGTAGATATTGTTACAATTTTTTGGATGTTACATGAAACTGACTATTCTTTGAAAAATTTCCTTCCACTATCAATGATATAGAAATAGGCTGAATCAACTTACAGGACGTTATATACAACGGTGCGAAAGAAGTAATTAGTTGCTACGAACGGAGCAAGAAGAAAGAGTGAATCAGTAATCACAGACGAAATATTACAGCTTTGGACAGAAGAGGGGAAATAAAAATAATCCTGAACGATACAAAGAACCAGATAGAACTTTCAGCAGAAAGATAAAAGAGACTAAAGGAAAATGTGATAGAACGAAGACAGCATAGCTTAAACATGAATAATAAGATCAAATTTAATAAAATACAAGAAGACGATAACAACAAATTTATTGTAGATAAGGAAGAACAGTTACAGACGTAGGAAAATTACATCAAAAGTTTGTTTTGCAGATTATTGTCAGAATAATCTTGAATTGGACGGACCAAAGATATTGAGAAGTGAGTTAATACAATCCCTCAGAATAAATAAAAGATGGAAAAACAACAGAATGAGAAAATACTCGTTGAATTATACAGCTCTCAATCTGCCAATCAATTGGTCATAATTTCAAAATCTAATAGGGATCGTTAGCAAGATCTCTTTTATCTTACGTTCGTGCCTTTTAATTTGTAATGGAAAACATATTTTTAGGTTGCATCTAAATAACCGTGTGAAACACCATAAAAAGTAAAATTAAATTTTCTGTTGTAGGAGTGGTTCTATGTTATTAAATAATTACGATACACATAAACCCAGCAATAATTTAAGGACATTGGAAGTTGCATCTTGGCATACTATGGACCATGTAGTACCTTTAATTCAAAGTAACAGTTGTATTCCCTTTCTACATGCTGTTTCAATGTATGTCAATTGCACAGATAATCAGAAGGTAATCTTTTAATGATATGTACTTAGTTTTTTATACCCAGTAACAACTAATCTTAGGACATATGTAGGAGAGACTGATAAATTTCATATGAAAGTAGCATTGCATCAGGGCTTAGCGCTTACTTCTTATTTATTCTCATTAGTGTTGGATTAGATAATAAGAAAACTGCAGTGTTAAATTCCCTGGTGTGTAATATATGCTGATGATGGAGTTTTAGCAGGAAATATTGAAAGGGGTTTAGGGCAAATCAGTGGAGACAAGCACAAAAAAAAATATATTTAAAACTTAGTAGATTAAAAACAAGAGTATTTAAACTGTTCGATAAATATGCATTTACTACAACAAATAAGATGATACCTATGAGTGATAAAATGATCTGGAACAGAAATATTCCCTCTCTTTCTTAATACTACCTGTGATGTTCCAGGCATTCTCATAACCAGTGATCGTATAAACCGTTGGTCCAAAACTTACCATTTTTCTCTCTTAAAACCTCAGAATGCTCTTGAAGTGTCCCTGGTCACGAATATTAAGCTGTCGTTGGAGACAATTCCAGACTTGTGTATTCGAATTACAGTCTGTCGAATAAGAGGATGCTTATGTCTTACTCCATACGAGTAGTACATAACTATTCTAGAGCATCATTCACAGTTTCTGAAAATTTAAAATTAACTTGCGAGCAAATTGGTCAGTAATGGGATAAATGGTGAATTTGGTATATCTCTGACTATTTATTGTTTGCCTTTTAAGAATAAGTGCTACACTTGGAGCCACATTTTGTTAGATGTATCTCTCGTCACGTTCTCTTTAAGTCAGCATACGGCCATCTGAATGATACAAGGCAAATTTTGACTCATTCGTAACCAAACCGTCTGTTGTCCAGTGCTGATGTTGAGTTGCCCAAATGGCAATGGCTTACGCGGCTGGCCCTTGTTAACTAGAATGTCGAGCACGTCTTCTGGACCTCAAGTGCAGTTTCGTGCAATATTCTGCGAACGATAAACAAACTTAGGCGAATGTCAGTATGTACCCTAATCCCAGAATCCGATCATGTACGATTTCTTCTAGCTGTTTTAATATTAAAATAGTTCTCCTGGAGGTTCTCGACAACCTCCGTGTCGTGTAATAGCTCTACCAGTTTCCCAGAAACAATCCAAACCCGACTAATCACACTCTAGGAAACGTTTAACATTTGGAAAACTTATTGTTGAGTGTGATTACCATGTAAAGGGTCACTACGGTGGCAAAGTTATCAGAGGAAAGCCTTTGTAGTGGCATAATACAGCACTAGATACTAGCTAGACTATTGAACTGTCTTTATTTATTATCAAAGGTTCTATTTATAATACCTACAAATTTATTAAAGTCTTTATTTGTACTAATTTAGTTCACACTAATAATTATATATAATTTGTTTACAATACGCGGGTTACATTTAAAAACTCGACGCGATATTCAAAACTAACTAACTGTTTTTAACAAAATTTCCACCTTAAATATAAAATACAGTTAATCGAGAATCTTTTCGAAATTCGGACGGTGACCATCTCGACTAGTATGGAAAGATGGAATGCAGACCGGTCTTTCAGCTGAGCCGCGAATGATCTCGAAGAACGCCATGAAACTGGTGTTAGCGTAGGGGTCCCTTGGATATTGCCTACTAAAAATACTTGAAATGAATGAATAAGGATATTAGTAATAAATATGTTTACAGTTATGAGTCATATTTAATGGTGTAAAATGTGTACTTCAGTGACAAAAAAGTTTTATAAAAACAACGTTTCATATTATTTTACAAATATTTGATTAAAATCTCGTTAGTGCCTATCGCTAACAGAAAAAGTAGCGGACTGTAAGGAAACATTAAATTTTTTCAATATTGTACAAAAAATTCCAAACAAAACGAAGTCAAGAATTGTAAAATTGTCCACTAAATTAAAAGTTAAAAATTCTAAATTAAAAGGAGAACAAAGTGAAATCTCTTGAATTCTGAATATTTCAGAACTGTATTTCGTACGACTTTTATGTTTTTCTTTCAATGAAAAATAAACGTATTAAGACTGATTGTCAATAGATTTATCTAATTAGGTCAGCTAATAAGTATTTTCTATTTTTTAACATATACCGCAAAGAAAATTATGTTAAATTATAATTATGGATTCTATTGCATGAAGATGAGTATGTCTTTGTGTTTTAAATTTACCATATTTTATATATTAAAAATATTTCATTTTTATTTTTAGGTCAAAGTAGTATTTTTGACTCATCCTAATATTCAAAAATATTTAGCGTCGCTATCGAAGTTGGATAAATATTACCTGACAAATCATTGGTTTGCGAGACCTGAAAGCATATTTTTAATGAACATTCTAAAATCGGCAGTAGCAGTAAAAGATGATATTGACACTTCAATTTTTTACAACGTAGCTGTGAAATGTCTATGCGTCTTTAATTCTGAACAAAAACCTGAAATAAGGTTTATACTAGCAAATATAATCTTCTGTTCAAAGTTTTATCCTAGTGAAGTACTTATGGAACATTTGGATATAAGCCAGAGAAGTTTAAGTCTGGAAATTTCTTTGAAAAACTTGAATGAGATTCTGAAAGTGTATACACAAATTTTAGGATTACAAAATGTAAGTAGAAACAATTATCTATTTTTATAGTTAGTGTCAGCTGATTGTAAACTTTTTTAATATAATTTTCAAATTAATTAATATACTTCTAAAATAAACTTGTTTTTCTAACTGACTAAAAAAAGTTAGTTAGAGCGATTCTGTACGATTTATAGCAAGTAGAATATTTTATATCAAGTAGAATTGAAATGTTGCTTATTTATATTAACCCTTTTCTTGACAAACCCAAATGAAAATGTAAAAATTGTATTTTCTTTGTATTAATGTCATTTTAGAATTATTTATAAATTTATGAAAGAGATATTTCACTTTTAATTTGTCGCTAAGTACCAAATTTGAATTTGTTTTGAATACAAATTTACTACATTTCCCACAATAGCACAAACCTGGTTATCTCTGAGGATCCATGCATTTTCTATGATTTAAACGATTTCTTAAAAAAAGTGTTCAGATAGGAAAAGAGGAAAATGAGTTTTTCTACAAATTAAAAAAAAAGCTTGTAATTTTAGAATAGACTTCAAAAATAATTCTTATATTCTAAATAAAATTCGTAAAATCTAAATAAAATTCTTAATAAAAACAAAAACTATACAATCTAGATGCCTACATATTTTTGATGATAAACATAAGAACAGTTTCTTTTGTCATTTAGACAAAGTCGCCTACCTTCACACTTCATGCACTGAAAGGAAGTAGTTCCCGACTTACAAAACCAACATCTTCCCCTCATTGATGTAGACATTGGCTGAGGAGAGTGGTCTATTCCATCATAGCACGAGTCGTTATCTTCTGATGTATTTTTGTCAATTCTTATTTTAGGTTCAGGGTCTTGTTCTTCTTTTGATAATTTTCTTTTTGTTTGCACCATTCACCTCTTTTTTAGCAGTCCATCGGCAATCGATTTTCCAAATATTTTTAGGCTCATATACTTTGAGCTTGTACTGTCCAAGGCATGGTGCCTGCGATGCAGCACCCAGTCATTTGTCACACATAGGTCAATAATGTGGGAAAATATACCCATGTACCATCTGTGTGTACAAAACGCAGTCCTTTATAGAGCTATAATCATATCGGCCACATCAACCCCTCCCGTATGTGAGTTATACTGTTTGATAATAGCAGGACAAAGCACATCTACTTTTGCTTTTCTTTCCTTGTCATACGTTTTTATTTTACCCACAGATAATTTTTAATAAGAACCACGGCTCTCATTTTTCATTTCTTTGTCAGATTTGAAGGAACAACAATTCAAAAAAAACAACAATAATTGTAAAAATATACTGCAGTGTACGGTTTTTCTTTTTTCGTTGTGCACAGGGAAACCAAGACCGATCCACCCAAGCCAAGCTGCTTTTCATTTTCAGTTAGAATTACTACCATAAAAGTATCTACACCTCCATATAGAATGAAGTCGTAAACGAAGCCTAATACTCCACACTTAACAAACATTTTGAAGCCCCATTTTTTGGCTTGTTTTTTATATATTGTTTTCTTGAATGAGCTCTTTCCATTGTATGGGATCACCATCTCATCTATACTCTGCCCTTTCTCCTCTTCAATGACAAGACAATATTTTTTTACAATCTCCAAGAGTGGTCGAACCTTAAAATATCTGTCTGTGTCACAGTCCAAATTATTCATAAAATGTGGAAAGCGTCTCAAACTCTGGTATTTCTTTATTGACATTACCGAAGCTATTGGTTCAAATCTAAAATATGCGGACCAATAGTCAGTATAGGCTGGGACTACCATAATACCCACTATTAACTCTATAGCGATAAAATCGCGAATGTCATTGGAAATGAAATTTACTTTTAACAAAAACTGAAAGTTTGTGTTAAAAGGTATAAGCCAAAAAATATCAAGGGAAAAACAATTCAAAATAGTCTAATGGTGATTTTTCGGCCAATTCACCAACATCATTTGGTGGAATTTCAACGCAACCAGTAAATTTTTCATTGGACCATGTATAATTTTCTTTTATAATTTTAGTCTTTTTATTACCTATTCTCGGTGGTTTGACGGGAGAACTGTGGTTTAGTCTTTGTGATGTGGACGGTTCATCTAAAACACTTGTCGTAGGTCAGCGGTCGGGGAACTTTTTTAATCATTACCCCAAAACATTTTTGTGTAAGTTGATATTACCCAAGGCAAAAAACAAAAAAGCAAAAAAAGGCCTCTTTTTAGCATCATTCATATTATAGACCCCATGATAGTTTTGAACAGAAAACAATAACTAAAACATAAAATAAACATCATTTATTCAATTTCTATGATACCTAGAAATACATAACATAATAATAGATAACAATAATAAGATATAAAAAATTAAAACCCATTGCGGTACTGTAACAAATTATAATAATAATAATGGTTGTACTAACAAAAATTAGAATTGAAAAAATTATAAAAAAAGAATAATTGAAAACATTCTTCCTTCACGTTTTGGAGAAATGATGTTGTTTCATGTTCGATACAATTGCTTCAAAATTGGGACTTTTTGATGTAAGAGCGATTTGAATACAGTCTTCGGCGTTTAATCGATTTCTGTTCTTCGTTTTTATGTTCACTAGAGTGGAAAAGCCTTGTTCGCACAAATATGTTGTTCCAAATGGCAGCAATTTTTTAACCGCCTCTTCATGTGCAATTTTGAAAGCCTTTGCAGCTTTTGATATCCAAAAAGACGACAGATTTGGTTTACTCTCAAATCGAATACGTGCTTCAGTATTAGATCGAAGTTTAAGAATTGCTTCTGCCAAACCTGAAGGTTTCTTCTGGTATCATATCAATTTCACATTTAAAAGGATCTACAATCCAACTGACAGTACGTATATCAAGATCTGGAAAGTAATCTGAAAACCGCTTTCTGAGTTTGATAAGATGTCTTACAATTGTATCCTTGATGTCAGCAAAAGTAATATTTTCGCAATCTTCCAAAAACAAAGCTAACCTTGAAAAAGAAGCTATCTTGTTCTGTTCTACTTTCTGACTCCAATATTGCAGCTTTAATCCAAACGCTGACACTATTTCTCTCGCTGAAATGATATTAATATTCTTTCCTTGCAATTCTTTGTTTAATATATTTATACTCTCAATAATGTCAGCTAAATATGCGAGATATGCAACCCAGGAAGAGTTTTTAAACTTATCTGCGAGAATATTTTTTTGATCAACCATAAAAATTTCCACTTCAGTTTTGAGAGTCCATACTCGATTTAGTACATTTCCGCGAGAGAGCCACCTTACTTCTGTATAATAAAGTAGGTCCGTATATTCGGCTTCACCGTCCTGACATAATTCACGAAATAGCCGCGTGTTTAGTGCATGTCCCTTGATAAAATTTACAATCTTGATGACATCATGCATGACGGCTTCCAGTGTAGGTTCTAAATATTTGACCATAAGGGCCTGGCGATGGATCATACAGTGAATAACTTCAATATTTGGGTTATTTTTTTTACGAAAGCCGAAAAACCATTAATATGGCCCACATAGCTGGAGCTCCATCCAAAGATACTGAAATACAGTTTTCCCATTTTAAACTTTGCGCATTGAAGTATTCATTTACTTTATTGTAGACATCAATTCCACGAGATCTTAACTCGAGAGGAGAACAAAACAGCAATTCCTCTTCAAAATTATCTGCACCTTTGTAGCGAACATATACCATTAGCTGTGAATTGTTACTAAAATCAGTTGTCTCATCAAGCTGAATAGCAAAATATTTAGCCTGTTTTAATGAGAAAATAACTTGTTCCTTCACATTTTCTGCTAATATAGAAATTCGTTCTTTCACAATTCTCGCAGACAAGGGCACTGAATTCAGTTTGTTCGCTTCTTTTTGACCACACATAATCTCTGTCATTTTTACAGCAGCTGGTTTAACCAAATCTTCACCAATAGTGTATGGTTTCTTATTTCGAGCAATCAACCAGGCTACTTCAAAGCTAGCCCTTGATGCTGAACGCTGATCAAATGTACCAAACAAGTTGCTATTCAATCTTTGTCTTTTAACAGATATTTCTAAATTTGCAAAGTATTCTCGCGGTTTGGAAGACAGGTGTGAATGCAAATTATCTAAATGTTTCTTCAGTTGACTTTTTTTGAAAGATTCTGAAGTCAATACCTTCATACATACAACACACTGTGGTTTCATTGTACCATTGTCTTCTATTTGTGTAAAACCGTAATTAAGGAATTCGTCTTGATATTTTCTTTTTCTATTTGCTGCCATCTGAAGGAGACAGAAAATAATAGTTGTAAAATACTTAAATTAAATTTTCAAATTGCGGCTTACCTTGATCGATATATCGATGATTAATGATTGTCAGCAACTAACTATAACTCTCTGACTCGTCAATGTATTTGTATTCTGACTGCACGGCACGGGCTGAGGGACTGAGCAGGTAGCCGGGGCTCGGGGCTGTGCTTTACTGCGCAAAGATATAACTCGAGAACACTCTACTGGTGGGGAGTGCAGTGGCGCACCCAGGGGGGTTTTGGAGTTTAAAATTCCTCCCAGGGCATATAAAAAATTTACAAAGGATAGTAGGAAAATGTAATTTATCTTTCACAAATAATACAAAACAATTTCGGTGCATGCAAATCAGGTTTAAAAAAAATTAAATTAAAATATATACTTTTTACTCACAAGTTTCATTTTTACCCCCAAAAATTTCATTTTTACCCCAATTACTTCAAAATTATCGGTCGGAGCAATAAGAATTTCGTCGTCCAATTCAATATCAGGTAGTTAATGTAGAACCTCTAAGAGTATTGTAGAACCTCTAATGTAGAATTGTTACTCTCATCCTCATCTTCTGATTCAGTCCCTGGTTTGGGACACATAGAAATAATTTTTCATATCCTTCTTTTAAACATATTTATCTGCAAACAAATAAAATTGCATAAAAATATTGCAGAGATTAAAAAAATCAAAAGTTTATATTTGCATAAAGAAAATCTTTACTCACCGTATATTTGGCAATGTAACAAATTTGTTACAAATGTTTTGCAAGGTTTTTTGATAGTTCAATAAACAAAAAACAAACTAAAACGTACACTGTCTATTTATATGATAATTGCACAATATAAAACAATCACCAAAATAAGCAAAAACACACTATTTCTTATAAAAAATTTAAAGTTTGTGAAAAAAGTTGAGGCCTTCTGAAAAATGCAACCGCTCACAAATATCAGTTTTCAATTACCAGAAATCGGTACTAATAAAAATTAAAGTCAAGTATCTCCATCTAGTAGTAGTTTGATATTATTAGTACAAAAAGTGACTAACAGAATGCGCCAAAAATCGTCTAGAACTCACTTAGGACCTAAAATAAAAATGTTACATTTTTGTTACATTGTCAAGAAAAGGGTTAAATGAATATATTCTCATTAAGACTTTTTTAGGATGTACCGGATTTTTCAACATCGTATTCTTTAGATATAAACATTGGCAATGTTATTCCTATAGACTGGATATATACACCTATTTTAGTTTTATATACAAATCAACAACAAAATAACGACAAAACCGATGAAACCGAACAAGTTTTCATTATCAGAAACTGTTTGCGTTGGATTTTAATCTACGAAACGTATTTTCCATTTTTGGCTTCACGAATTAATCCCACCGATAAATTTTGTCGTTTAGCTTGCGTATTTTTAGGTAGCGATAGTTTGTTTTTAATTAAGGAAATACATGACTTACTAGAACTTTGTTTTAAGAACGTCATGAAGCGTGAAAAGGATTTTAATTTCAATAAAAAAATACAAGGTATGTATGTTTTATTTAATTAAACCTTGAGACAAATATAACTTGCTTAAGTAATAAAGTAACAAAATAAAACAATATATAAATTTAAAAAAATGTGTCAATTAGTTTTATGCGGTCCGTCCGATGATTAGTGCATTCAAAACTGCAACATATGCACAACCGATTCAAAATTAGAGGTAGTGGAGCAGTTATGAATTATTATTCTGCTTTTAATGTTTTTGTTGCAGCCGATTATTGAATTTTAAAATATAATTTTTTTATATATATAATGCCCGGTTTATAGCGTCCTGCGCCTTCCAGTTCTCAGTCTCCATTCACGTCTATCGAACCAATCTCCTAGTCGTAGATCTTTCTCTGATTTTTGGACTCCATTAAGCCGTGTTCGGTTTTTCCTTGTTTTTTTTTCGCTCAGTAGCTGCCAATCCAATATAGCTATCTCAGTGGCTGTCATTCTCTGTACATGTCAGTATCAAATAAGCTCGGCGACCCACTGTTTAATACTTGCGAAAAATAAAATACAATTAATATCATAAAATTGAAACGACAATTACGATGTGTGCAAGCAGCGAACAAAGGAAGGACGGGTCAGAGGAATAGAGATGGAACGAGCTTATCAACACTCAGTCCGACGAGTAGCGGAAGGTGACTAATTAACGCCACATGAAAGAATAGGTCTGTCTCAGATCATTACTCCAAGACCGGCTACGGAAGATAGATCACTTTAGCAGAAACGGTTGGCCTTTAATTAATAACCTAGGGCAAGTGGAATTATTATCTAATCAACGCTCTGATCGTAGTCGATTCTCTTGTGCGGTGGATTTTGTTTTATACTGCCGTCGGCCTTCCAATCCTCTAGCCCGCATCAATGGAAAAGTAAGTTGTGGTGGGAGCATGTCTGTACGAAGCGCTGACGGAACCGAGGTGATGCATATTGTTACACCCCCTTCTCTTTGGGAAAAAAAATGTATCAAACTTTTTTTTGTGGCGTGGCGTGATCCCATTCACTCTTGGTGGCCACTTGATCTTTATTCTTCTGTCGTCGTTGCAGGACGATTTTCGCCAAGTCGGAATTGTTTTCTGGCTGTAGCTCCCATGGAGTCGTCATTGCTGCGGCTCCAGAATAGCTGGTTAAGCTGGTGTTGAGGATGCATTCTACTTTCTTTCATGGCGCGACAGGCAGCTCAGGTCTCTGGTGTTCCTAGTGGGCTCATTTCTTCGAGAACGTCTAGTATGTGTTCCATGCCTATGTGTTAGTTGAACTGAGTTCTGCTTTCTGAATTCGCTGCTTAAGTACACTCTGTCTTAGGTGGGGATAGGATTTCTTTGGATTTGCCTTCCCCTCTCGCGGTTTTAAATCTTTGAAATGCGCTGTCACCTGTTTGCAGTTGCTACTATTCAAAAATTTTAGTTTAGCTATTACTGGTGAGATAACTGATGCTACTGTATATGGACCTGAATAGTTTGGTGTCAGCTTGCCGGTGAAAGCTTCACTTACCGATGATAGATGGTGTTCCTTTTTCATGACCTGATCTCCTGGGTGTGGACGCCAGTCTCTTCGCCTTAGATCGTCTTCTGGTCTTCGAAAGCATGTCCCATGTGTACATTTGCCTGCTCGGGGGCCAATTTGTGACGGGTATCTCTCTTAGACAGCAGACTCGATAAAACTTAGGTTTAATTAAAATAAAAATATATTTGGAAATCATAAATAACAAAATAAAATTATATTCAAGATAATAGAAATCAAACGCCGATCCTACGGCTGCGCCATCGACGCACGGCTCGGCGACCCACTGTTTAATAAATGCGAAAAATCAAGTACAATTAATCCCATAAAATTGCAATGGAGTGTTACACCCGCAGTGCAGAAAGGAAGGACGGGTCAGAGGAATAAAATGGAACGGGCCGATCAACACTCGGTCTGGCGAGAAGCCGAAAGTGACTAATCAAATCTTAGACACGGGGAAGAATAGGTCTGTATATGCTACTAGATCAACACTAGCAGAAATGGTTGGTCTTCAGTCAATATGCTAGGACCAATGGAGTTGTTATCAGATCAACGCTATAATGGAACTCAATTCCCTTGTGCGGCGGCTCTTGTTTTATACGGTTGTCGGCCTTCCATCGTATCTAGCGCGTATCTATGGAAGATCAATTTGTGGTGGTAGTGCGTATGTACGGAGCTCTGACGGGACCGAGGAGATGCATTTGGTTACATTATGTTCAATTCATTGAATGGATACACGAGCAGCAATACATTGGCTTATAGGGCAGTCCTTACGGTAGGGATCTTGGGCTATATAGAAAATTGTAAGCGGGTGTGAAAATCTTTTCAGGTCGAAATAATGAAAAAGCTTCTCTAATATAACAAAAATTTCACTGAAATAAGGGCACCTCTTAACGTAAAATGTTCCGGAAGTAAACTGAGTGTCCGTTCGTATTTCCGGGTAAGGACTATTTCACGTGAAACATCATTACAAGTTTGAAAAATCAGGATAGGAATCTTGGATGGATGTAAAAGTGGAAGATGCGTTTGATAAGAAAAGAAAAGAAGGAGAGTACAAATTGCTTGCATTCGAGTGACGAGCTGGAAAGGAAAAGGGCAAAAGAACTAGGTGAATGGTATAAATTGTGGTATGTAACACTATGAATCTAGTTGGTATAATTGCTGATAGAAAAATGGAAGACGTAGTAGAAGTTGCAAGAACGAGTGATAGAATAATGACACTGAAATTTATACTTGATAAAGAAATGATGAATTTTAGTGTTGCTCCTGGTTCGGTTTTGGTGACAATCAAAGAAAAACTTTTTAAGATCATTTACTGGGAGACATACTGAGTGATATTCCATCAAAGGAGGGAGTCATAATACGAGATGATTTTAATGCATATCTGGGTCAATCTAAGAGAGGGTATGAAGTAATATACAGAAGACTAGGAAATTGGAATACTGGATATTATATGCTGGAATGAGCAACAACAGCATTAGATATGCCGATTAGTAAACCCGGAATAGGCTTCGCACTTGAATCGATAGATCGTTGGTTCGAATCACATCAGGACGTTTTTTTATTTATGTTAATAATTATAATTTATTTTTTAAAAATAGCAGGCGCCGACTATCGGATGATAGTTGAATTACAAAAATAATTTGTAAATTACTTAGGATAAAAAATGGCGAACGACATCTGACAAACGTGAAATAGCAGACATTACAAAAACGTTTGACAGCTTTATAATTTGTAAATTGATGTGAATTTAATAATGGCGGATGACTAGTGACAACTAGTGGATAAAAGTTGAACTCTGACAGTCGGTTCCTTCGACATAATGGCGGCGGCCATATTGTGGCGGAGCTTGTGACGTCAACATATATCTGAATATTTCCGATACATTGAAAAAACGGTCTCTCTCTCTCGCTCTCTAACACATTGATTTCCCTATGTGGGGTGAACGCCCCCTTAAACATCTACTCCCATTGTTTTAAAAGAGAGAAAGTCAGTTTATCACAAACAAGAATGGACAAAATCATTCTCAAATAGATTATTTTATTTATCATACAAGAAAAGAAGATATACGTGAATGTAAGGACTGCAAGGTAATAGTTGTAATACTGTGAGCCAACAACATAAGTTGCTTGTGCGGGACATCGAAGTTAAAAGCGAAATTAAACCGAAATATCTAAGAGGACTACAAAAGATCAAGTGGTAGATGTCAAAGGATGAGATAGAAGGTCTATGCAGAGCAAAAATATTGTGGCCAGTATTATTACATATACTTGTACTAAGACACAACAAATAAGGTGATAAATTTGGATGGTGCAATTATTGTAAAATAGTTTTAAAAGTACCTAGTATCGGTATTACAGAGCCCCGGGGAAATATATAGAGATGTACGCAGTAAAGTTAGGGCGGGATGGATGAAATGGAATGAAGCGAATGCTTTGTTATGTCACAGGAAGCTTATAATGAAACTCAAAGAAAAATTGTATAAAACTGTCATAAGACCATGACGTGGTACGGAACCGACGGACAGTTTATGTTGTACGGAACTGAATGCTGGGCAGTTAAAAAGAAAGAGGAACAACGAATTCATGTTGCCGTAATGAGAATGCTTAAATGGATGAGTGGAGATACAAAAAAAGATAATATTAGGAATGTGTATATTTGGGAAAGTCTAAGGGTGGCATCAATTGATGCCAAAATGAGAGAGCATAGGTTAAGATTGTTTGAGCATGTTCAACGTCTAAACTTTAATCACCCAATACGAATAATTGCTGATTTTCAAGTTCCTGGAGGAAGTAGAAACGGAAGATTAAAGAAGCATGGACATGCTAGTAGAAAACTTATGGAGAAATATTATGACGGTGGACCCTGCATAGGGATAAAGGCAAAGACAATGATGATGATGTCTGTTTCACGAATTTTCTCGTGCCATATTTTTTTCCAAATTATCAACCAAAAATCTTAGGTTTATCGATTTTGCGGAGCATTTTAAAGTTATTTTCTTTTTTTTTCCTCACGTGTCCCTCTTGATTCTGTTGGCCAGTTATTACAGAACCAAGTATTCTATGTATCTCCAGATGTACACATACATCATATCTACTAATACAGAGTAATAGAGAAAAAACTCGGATATAAGGTATCACGTTTATGTGAAATACATTTGGAGCTATTTCTGAAAATGTTAAATTTTTTTAGGTTTGAGTAACTTTCAAGATTTTTATGCCCAATTACTAGAACAATACCAGGGGGTTAGCTATGGAGATATATTATTCGGAAATATAATTATTGTGCCTTTAGCTCAAAAACATAGTATTCAGTACAGAAAAACACTTTGGTCGGAATATATGGGAGTTGTGCAAGTTTGCAATGTTACTCCAGATCAGGTAAATATTTTCAAATAAATACTTTACTTTTATTTCTCCTTCTGAGTCCTTTTTAGTGCCCTATTTTTTTTATAATAACTTTAGTTCTAAGCAACAGAAGTAGTTATATATCAGTGATTATTTATCTAAGTAATAAAAATCATTTATTTTAATACTGGTACAATCCGTGGCAGAGTTTTATGACAGGGTTGCAAAAGCAGTTAATATAGGTTAGGTTAGGTTCAATATTCCCGCTTTGAATATACCTATAGCAGCCACACCTGTTATCTACAAAACAACCTTTTTCCTAGTTCTCTTCCACTTAATATACACAGAGCAGCTACACCGGATATATACGTCACACATATAAGAATATTAAATAGACAACAATTAACATAGGTTTTCCAAACCCCTTTCCCCTTTTCCTTCCGAAAAGGAATCAGACCCTCCCCTAGGTGTGTGCCGTTATTAGGTATACATCGTAGGACAAACCCTAAGACCTTCCACAAGAACACCCTTCCAGACTGCGCGGGATGTCCGCATGTTTCGTTTTCTAATGAACTTGTCCGGGGATATTCAGCGTCGAAGAGGGGGTGGTTTTAGTTGGTAGGCGACCTGACAAGGGCGCACGATGGGGGCCCGGATTTCGTGTGAACTCTGTGCCGTTGTCGTGTGATCCTGCTTTGTTAAATCCAACAGTACTAGGGACACATTCACTAGTCGGTTTCGAACCTTTCCACCTCATTCTAAAAAAAAAGTTCAATATGCCTGGAAGCTTAATCACCCTTCTACTCGACCTAAGTGGTATATTGTGGCTCATCCCTAAGTTAAAGTTGTCCCTTTATCCCAGCCTTTTTAAAAAATCTAGAATGGCATAATTTTAAATAACTAAAGTGAACATTCTAATTATCTTTTTATACGAATTTAAAGCGGTAAATTCATTTTCAATCATTTAAAAACAGATATCATGTATTATTTTAATATTGCTATTCTACTTCGAAAGTAATTAATTATAGAAATCTGACAACTAGAGTATGTTTCAACTGTAGTGGCGGAAATTTCTAGGAACAGTAAAGCTTCACCAAACAAAGCAGTGGCGTTCCAAAAAATACTTATGATTTAAATCAAATTGTTAAAGATAGGTACACACAATTTATTAAAAAATATTTGAGTATATTTTATATATTTGATTTAATACATATCATTAGTCGGTCAGATAGCTCAGCGGGCTGTGCGGCTGCCTCTCATTCGCTTCACTGTCGAATGGTCTAGTGGATGTGGGTCGAGCCCCAGCTCGGTGTACAGAAAACAAAAAGTCTAACGCAGCAGTTTAAAATTCTAGATGAATCTGCGGCTTAGACTAGGATATGCTGGGTTCTGATCGGCCTATGGTGGAGCAGTACGGCAAGAGATAAGGGCTTGCGGCTCGGTGATACTCCTCCATAGATCCCTACCGGACGGGCGTAACGCCTAAAAAACCGGATATAATATATACATATTATTATAATATATCACATATTGTCTGTATGTGAAACAATATATACGTATTACAGATTACAGTACTAATAAATATTAATTACAAATATTGTTTCAACTTTAAAACCTTTATTATTTATATTATTACTCACTTAAACGTCACAAAGTTAAATAGAATATACGAAATGATTTTAATAAAGTAAAAAAATAATACATACGTACAGGACAGTTTGGAAAACTTATATTCACATATGTTACATAGGTACATCGTAATGTTAAATTATATTATTCACTTTCATAATCAGATGCACTGACGTCGTCACTAGGATCATTTAAATCAATCCTTAATACTATATGCGACTCCTTATCTTCAACCTTGACAACATATTCACACACTTTCTTCCAGCTATCTACAGTAACTCTACCAAATTCCTGTTCCAATAACACTTTAACGTGTTCTAACTTAAAATAAACGTTTTGTTTTGTAACTTTATTTTTTATTTGCGCTAAACCATTTCTATAGGGTTCAAGTCTGGATGATATGGCGGAAGTTTTACAGAAACATATCCACATTCTTGTAGCACTTTATCAAATTTATATTGAATGTTATCTTGTTTGTGTCGTTTGATGATTTCATACAATTGCGGTTTTAACATTGACGTTACAAATGGTAATTTTTTTTCTGTCAACCAATATATCATATCCATTTTTTTAGAATTACTGGTGGGTACTTTAAAAATTTGTACATTATGATATGACGCATTATCAGTAACAACAACAGATCCAACATGCAAATTGGGGACTAACTGTTTTTTTATCCATTATTTATAATTTTCTGAATTCATATCATCATGATAACTTCCTGTCTTAAAAATCAAAAGGGAATTCTGTATGAAATCCATCTCCACACCACCATGTACGATAACCAACCTACTTCCTTTTGAAATGTTTTTGAACAATCCTTTGCCACTGTCATCTGTCCAGCTATTTGGCGTAGTGTGTCCTGCATGAACATAGGTTTCATCAACATATACAATTGACTTACCTTCGCTTCTCTAATATTTAATTTTGTTCAAATATTTAATGCGTAGAGCACGAATATCATTCCGTTTAATTAATAAACGTCGATTATCTTTCGTTTTCTTCCATTTAAATCCCAAATCTTTCACAATTCTGTAGAGAGAAGTCACACTTCCAGTCCACTCGTATACCTCTTTAAGCCTTTTCTGCAAAAGCTTCAATGATATAAGATAACGTTCAGTCTCATGAAAACAATTAATGGTATTTCTAATGAACTGTTTGTCATACTCCCTCAAGTCTGTCACGGTTGCTTTCCTTTTAGCAAGTGTTGTAGCTGGAAATTTTAGTCTATTATTTGACTCTGCGTTTGTTAACATACTCGCTTGTTGAATGATACTTTCTACTGTACGCAAAGATACTCCAGTAGCTTCACTCACACGTTGGCAACACTGGTTCGATTATCATTCAGGAAATAGTATTTGCACATATTTAAATACATTGTAAACTATTCCTTTGGATTCTGGTGTCAATCTGATCTGTTTACTCGTACTAAACTTAACCATCTCCATTTTACAAAATAGTTCTAATACGCTAATCTTTCTTGTTGAGACTCGACAACATAATGACACTAAATTACGAACTCGTTTGAAATTTCAGTGACTAGAAATTCTGGGAAATAATTCTTATCAGTTCTTTGTATGTCCTTAACGAGTCGTTAAAGAGTCATTCATAATGACTTTATAATTACGATTTTAAGGTAACTGATACTAAATTGAACATTAACTTTTACCAAACTTTGAGTATCAATTAATAAAGATGGTATTATAACAAACAAAAAATTTGGTATCTTTAAAACAATCTGTGTACAATCAAACTCCATTGATTATTTAAGTGAGTAATAATTTTGTAATTAGTGCGATTTCAAATAATTTAATTTGTTTAATATTGCAACGCCACTGCATGGGTCTGATCATAGATATTCTATTGTCTGCGCGATTAACTATTTCGTGGAAGGGCTCGCCACTCGATTTGAAATAAGCTGTACCTAATACTAATTATTTTAGTTTTTATTGCATTTTTTTTTATTTAGTGAATAGGTAATATTCGTTCTTATTTAGAAATCAACATTCATCAAACATTGTGTACCTTCTAAATATAATTAAAATTACGTATTTTTTAATTTTAATACATAATATAAAAAAATGTTTATTGAATTTCACTTAAATCAAAAATGTAAATAGATAGATATTTATGTACCAAGTTGATAAAGTAACTCTTTATTGGACGAGTCTGATATTCAGAGCAGAGCGAGCGGGGCGAGTAACAGATGAGTTCGATAAAGAGGGTTTACTGATGTGGAGCATATAAAATTTTATAGCTAACCATAAAAAACATTAACAAATAAATTAGTCATAAATACAACAGTTTTATTTATGTTGTATTACATTAAATACTAGTGAACAATTTTACTGGTAAACTGAGCTGAACTGATTTGAAAGGTGATTTAATTGAAAATGTCTTATGAGTTTAATTAATAATGACGTTATTTTTTTACAATATTTTTAATAATAGGATAAGATAAAATTTATTGTCATTCAAATAAATAATCGATTACTGCTATCGACCACTGACATTCAATTTCAGTCTACAGAGTTACTATTTGCGGCAGATAAAGTTCTTATTTTTTCAGTACAATAAAGTGTTACTCTACTGCCGCAAATGAGTACAATAAGGAATGACTTTAATGACGGTTGACGATAAAATAACTCTGCCTGGGGTATTGTAAGGAACGGGTGGATTAAGTAGCTCGGAAATCACCTTACTGCAGCTGGTCCAAGCCCAGATAAAAGAGGAGCGGAGGGTTAACTACCCACCATCGGAAAAAGAAACTAGTTATGAAAACTGCAACTTTGTCTCGGAACCGGACAGATAAACACAAAACACCACAAATGCAATGTAAAAGGGCTATGAATATCGGAACTTGGAATGTCCAGAGTTGATACAGACCTGGAGCTGTTATAAATGCTGTGGAACAACTGGAAAGCAGAGGAATTCATATAACAGCAGTCCAAGAAATAAGATGGCCAGAGACGATGGAAATATAAAAATAAGTAAATCCACCATCTTCTTCATTGGTAACAAAAACGGAAGACATGAATTTGGAACGGGGTTTGTGATTAGAGACAGCCTAGTACAGAGTATACTAAATTTCAAACTTATAAACGAAAGGATATGAATACGAATGAAGGGAGAACGATACACCAAGGGAAGAGAAGGATGAAGATATCAAGGATGACTTCTACGATGCACACACAATAGGTAAACACAGCCTCCACAATATATCCAACGACAATGGCTTAAGACTCACGGAAACTGCAGCAGCTAATAATATGCTAATAAAGTCAACCATGTTTCCGCATAAAGACATCCATAGGCAAACCTGGGTCTCAAACGACCATATTATACGCAACCAAATTGACCACATCATTGTAAATGACCGTCATGGGAACAATATTATAGACGTAAGAAGCCTGAAAGGAATAGACGGAGACACAGATCATTACTTAGTCAGAGCAAAAGAGCATACACTGAGAGACAATCAAGGCCATATGATAATCGACGGTAAAGAAGTAACTGAAGAATGGAAAGAGTATTTTAGGGACCTTCTAAACATCATACAGGAAGAACAGCACAAAGAAGAGATCTATATCACAGCGGACAAGCCCGTCAAAAATCCCTCCTTTGAAGAAACCCAAAAGGCCTTAAATAAGCTGAAAAATCACAAAGCGCCGGGTACGGACGAGATACCAGCAGAACTTCTGAAATATGGGAGAGACGCACTACATCGCCAAATCCACCAGCTAATAACGCACATATGGTTGGAAGAAAGAATGCCAGCACGATGGAAGGAAAACATCATTCTTAGTAGACTAATCCCTTATGCTGAAAATGTCCTAGGCGAATATCAAGCCGGTTTTAGGGCAAACAGATCAACAATAGATCAACTATTCACGCTGAGACAACTTCTAGAAAAAGGGATGGGAGTATAACAGACCCATACACAATCTTTTCATAGATTTTCGACAGGCATATGATAGCTTAGAAAGAAGCCATGTATGGAATGCCATGGCGGAGTTCTCAATACCAAAGAAACTCATTCGGATGACCAAAGTCTGTATGGAGGGTGGAATATCTAAAGTACGTGTAAATAATAAACTGTCTGGCAGCTTTGAAATCAACAGTGGACTCAAACAGGGTGATGCGTTATCTCCACTACTTTTTAACCTTGTATTAGAGAAAGCCATGAGGTTGGCCGAAATAAAAACAGAATTGATATCGGTTCAAGGTCCCAAGCTGTTACTCGCATATGCAGATGACATAGATCTCGTTGGAGACTCCATCCTATCCACGAAAGACATCTTCAACAAGGTGAAATGAGCAACAAGTGAAGTACGCTGAACATTAATGAAGAGAAGACGAAATATATGTGTATAAATAGAACGACACGAAGAGACAGAATAGGACAAAATTTGACGGTCAACACCTTCAATTTCGAAAAAGTACAACGTTTTAAGTATCTGGGGGCCGTAATCACAGCTGACAACGATGTTACTGAAGAAATAAAAGATAGAATCCAATCTGCAAACCGCTGTCTATTCGCACTGGATGAGCTCATCAAATTAAAAAATCTTAAAAGAAGTTCAAAGATCAAAATCTATAAATCCATCGTCAGACCTGTAATAACATACGGATGCGAAACGTGGACCATGACCAAAGCAAACGAAGAAAAGCTCAGACGCTTTGAACGAAAAATACTTAGAAAAATCTTGGGTCCTCACCATGACATCACAACAAACCAGTATAAGATCAGAACCAATATCGAGTTAAAAGCACTCTACAATGACGCTGATATTGTCCAAGAATTAAATCACAGCGACCAAGATGGGCAGGCCACGTGCACAGACTACATAACGAGAGACTTGTAAAACTGGTATGGGAGGAGATCCACAGGCAAAAGACCACTCGGACGTCCCAGAATGCGATGGAGAGATAACTTTCAAGCAGATCTCCGGAAAATGAACATTCCATTTGACCCTAGGTTGATGGAAGACCGAACAAATTGGAAAAAAGTTGTACAGTCAGCCAAGACCCACCCAGGGTTGTAGCGCTACGTGATGATGATGATGATGACGATAAAATCTATTATAGCACGATCGTTGTTCTTTATTTGTCTATCGCAGGTACAGAGTGAAATGTTACCACATCTATTTCTTATGTATCAACCGTGACTGTCGTTTAACTCAATGGTGCGATCTGGTTCCTTTCGAACTTGTTTCTCATTAAGATAACGTTCAAAAAGATTATATTTGTCGCCTTTTAGATTGTGCCCAAATATGAGACTTTTTGTTGTTAACGGCTCTGTTTGGGTATTAGCTCTTCTTAGGGTCTCTTCATTTGTATTATGGACATTTTATCATACTTAAAATGCTCTATAATTAACTCGTTTTAAGTTTGACTTGGTCGTTTTCTAATATCCAGCTTGTAAATCTAGTTTAAAATGTTTTATCGTATAAATTATTAGCTTTTTGCAAATGTTTTTAGGTAAATAGATGCAAATTATATATTTATTATTTTTAAATTTTAGTATATCGGTGATATTCAGTTATTCCTTGATCCTCCAGAGGTTCAGAAATCCTTGCTCCAGTGCTATAGAAGAGCTATCATTGGCAAGATGGTGAGACCACATTCAATATTGTACAGAATAGCAAATCATCATGTTGAAAACATTTATAAAAAGTAAAAAATAAATAGTATTCTTTAAAATGGTGTTTATAAATTTTACTAACTGGACCTATATTTAAATCCTACCTAGTCCTTATATGATAAATTAATACAAAAAGAACCCTTTAACAGATATTTATCCTATAATATACAATACAGTTACATACATCTAGGAAGAAAAATAAACACTCAGCTGGACCACACAAAATAGATTTGATTATATTTTTGGTAATATTGTACTACATTTTAATACATATTATTATAATATATCACATACATATATTGTCTGTATGTGAAACCATATATACGTATTACAGATGACAGTATTAATATTAATTACAAATATTGTTTCAACTTTAAAACCTTTATTATTTATATTATTAACTCACTTAAACGTCACAAAGTTAAATAGAAGAATATAACGAAATGATTTTAATAAAGTAACAAAATAACACATACGTACAGGATAGTTTGGAAAAATTATATTCACATAGGTTTCACAATACAGTTACATACATCTAGGAAGAAAAATAAACACTCAGCTGGACCACACAAAATAGATTAGGAGACATATTAGCATCGGTTTAGTTACATGAAAAATTTCTATGTCACCCGAAGTTGACCATCCAGATAAGATTTCGGACACTAAAATGCTATGTTGGGTCTTCACTGCTGTACGGATGTGAAACGTGCACGATGAAGCAAAAATATTTAAAAAAAATCTGCAATCGTTTGAAATGTGGCTCTACAAACGTATGCTAAGAATCAGCTGGACTAATAGAACGGCCATACACAAGGTAACCTGAACGTCCCTGATGGAAGAATGATGAGTCAGATTGATCACGTCTTAATTTAAGACACGTAACAGACCTAATGAACTGCAGAAGTTATAGAGGCCCAAATATACACTCAGGTCATTGTCTAGTGATCTTAATATTGAGGGCTAGACATCGAGGCAAACATCTGCAAAGAAAATAAAATGGCTAAAAAGAAATGGAATGTGCAAAAGCTAAGAGATGCAACAGATACAGAACGTTACTCGGAAAACATCATCAACAGGCGGAGGAATCAAAATATAAATGAAGAAGGTCGGAAAGAGATGACTCCTACTGGACCAAAATAAAGGAAAGTAACAATAAAACACTGAAAACTTTGTTTTCAAACTTCCACAAAAATTTATTTTAACTCTTATCACTACTGCTGTTTCGGCTGATTGCCTTTCGCATGTGATCTTTTTTTTGCATGCTTTTACACTTTATAGTCTCTAATGAAATAGGTTGAGGAGGGGAGAACTGTTTGTCTCAAATTGGTCATTCAGATTTATATCTGTGTTTTTTAATTTGTTGATTTCCATAGATTCTAACAAGGATAGCTTAAGGTCTTTATTTTGAATGTGAAGAATTTTAAATTCGTCGTTAAAAGAATGATTGTGATCTAAAAGATAAAGTGCGTATGTAGAATCTGTTTTTCTATTATTGAAAGCCATTTTATGTTCTGCTATTCGTTTGTTAAAGTTTCTACTAGTTTGACCGATGTCATACCGAAGTTTTTGGGCAGTCGCCACATTAAGTTTGTACACACCACTATGTAAGTGTTTTTTATTTTGGCTCTTGTTTTTTATATATTTGCCTAGGTTGTTATTTGTTCGGAAAGCTGGTGTTATTCCTTTCTTTTTTATGTGTTTGGCTATTTTTGTTTGTAATTTTGCCTGTATATGTAATCGAACAGAAGGTACTGGGTTTTTTCTCTTGGTGGTGGAAATACTAATTTCAGGGCTTTCTTGTGTAGTTTTTGATTTAACATTTTATTAATTGTTTGTTCATTGTATCCGTTGTTTACTGCTATTTGCTTAATTATATTTAATTCTGTCTCAAAGTTGTATTTTGACATCGGATTTCTGTTAATCTATGTAACATACTATGATATGCTGCCAGTTTAGTGTTGTGTTGGATGGGATGATGAATTGTGTATAGTCGTGTCAGTATGGGTAGGTTTGTGAAAATATGAGAAAGTCATGTTTGTTTTTAAATCTGATAATTTTTAAATCTAAAAAATTTATAGATTGATTTTGTTCTGTTTCTATTGTAAATTCAATATGACTATGAAGTGAATTAATATACGATAAAAATTGGTTACGAGTGGCCTGTTAGTTCCTGTGAAACATACTAGTACGTCGTCTACGTATCTCCACCAATATAAAAAACTGTTTAAATACGGGATGGTTTGAAATCTTTGTCTCTAGATGATCCATACAAATATCTGATAGCAATGGGCTTAGAGGATTGCCCATTATAAGTCCCTGCACTGTTATTTGTATATATTTGATTATTAAATTCAAAGTAGTCCTGGTTTATGTCAAACTTCAAGAAGATATAAAATTTCAGAGTAAATTATTGGATTTGTACTATTTTGGTCTAAAAGGTTTTTTACTAGAATAAAAGTTTCTTGTAGGAGGGATACTAGGAAAAAGATTTTTTACGTCAATGAAATTAATCTGGAGTTGTTGGGTAATTGAAAATGTTGTATATTATTAACTAGTCTATGTATTTTATAGGTAAATTTAGGTGAAAATTTAGTTGTTCTAAAAAATTCAACAGTTTTTTTGAAATGTTTATATGACGGAGCAGTATAAAAAGAAACTACAGGTCTTATTGGGTGATCCGGTTTGTGTAGTTTAATGAAAGAGTATAATTTAGGAGGCTGTGGGTTCATGATATTGAGGTATTTCTGTTCTATTGGATTTACTATTGATTTTGAATTTTCTAACGCTAGCTTAATTTGTTTTTGATATTTTTCTGTCGGATCTTTGTGTAAAGTTCAATATTTGATTATTTAGAATTCTATTGTTTTGTTATTATATTCTATTTTATCTATAGCAATAGTAGTGTTACCTTTGTCTGCTTTTGTAAACACTATGTTGTTTTCTATTGATTTATTTTTAATTGAAATTGCTGTTTTATTCTCTTTGTAACAGGAATTCTTAGTTTCACTACACACATCGTAGTCGAATCCATCAATTATAAAGGAAAGTATTTAACTAGCAGCAAAAGATGAAATAGAAACACTGAAACTATTCGAGAAGGAATTACCAGATAAAATAGCAAGGAGAAGAAAAGAGGAAAAATACAAATGACTACAAACCAACTTACACATGGGGAAGTAGAGTATTACTTATAACTTCGCCATGAAAACGCGCCGAAAAATAGTAAAAAAAAAGTGCTTGCGTGGCTGTCGCCCGTGAGAAATCCCCGCTGCAATATACGTCACCGCTGGCCTAAAAAAGGTGTTCCCCTGAAATTGCATTCCTAATGCTAGCGAAGAATTTCAGCTGTACGTCACCGCCCAGAACAAAATAGGGTATTCCCCGTTCGTCAAACAACAGTACATTCCTCGTACACCGCAACTTTTTGACGATTTTGTTTTCTTGCTGTTGGTCGTCAAAGCAAAGCGTATAGTCTACTTGGGTTGACTTGTAGTGCATCGTGCATAAGTGATAATATTTTTTTTTGTGACATTCTATTTAAGAACTTAAAACTGTGGTTCATTGTTTCAAAGCACTGTTCCAATAGATAACTTTAGAAAGAGGCTTAACACACGAAAAAACAATAGACAAAGAAAACGAAAGGCTAATTCGTAAATCTCAAAAACGTTGGCAACAATTTGTTTGAGAGATGAATCGTTAATATTGAACTTCTTGGCCTCTCATAATCTCGTATTTAGAGGTCACGGAAAAGCTACAAAAGACTGACGGGTGGACTTTAGGAATTGTAGGAAACTTAATTGATTTACTTTACATTGATTTCAAAATTTGATCCAACTTTTCGAGAAACATATGGACACGTTACTATACTGACTAAACAACTTTACGTCCATCATTATATTAAGTCACGTATACAAAAATAAATTTGATCACACTGCTATCAAAAAAACCGGTTTAGTGGTGATGTGATTCGGCAACATAATTCAAAAGAGAGCCATAATATCTATTCTTTTTTAATAATTTGATGCGATTCGACCGGTTTACTTGATGGGAAATTCAATTTTTATTCTAACAATTAAAACACTGAAAAACTTTGGTTTCAAGCCATTTTTTCTTCTTTTCTTGGGACTACCCTACGTGACTGAAGTAATAATAGAAACATATTTTCTGTGATCTTAAATAATTTTTGGTAATCCATCAACGGGGCACAAGTAGAAAAACCCTTTATTGGATGTTTGCTTTAAGTGAGACAAACTAGGGAGAGTATTTAAGGTTATGCCTTCCAAAGCGAGACTCTAGATAAAAAATGGCAGTATATTCGGAAAACAACTTACCGTGGCGCAAGGATACGACCAATGGCGCAATATGGTAGGCATCAACAGTGGGAGTCAAAACTCGAAATATTAAATATAAATCGTAGGATTTTTCCACCTTGCGGCTTGTCATAGCTGGAATCTGCTGTTGGTAGACGCCCCAATTCTTCGGCTGCAACAAAACATTTTTTTGTTTTTATCCAAAAAATGTATTTGTTGTTTTCTACGTTTCAGTAAACGCTGGGAATTGATTTGAAGTAAAGTAAATACAATTATCACCATGACGCCTTTATCGGACCCGAGATGGAAAGCAGAAACGAGGCAGTTAAGTACACCCTCTATTTCAAGTTGATGATGTGTAGGATGCATAGAAAATGTTTGAAAAATCCGAACGGGATTAAATCAGACTCTCTCAGTGAATGTGATTCAGTATTAAACGAAATGCCTTAATTTAGAATCTTGTAAATATCCTTTAGATATATAGTATTGAATTGGTTGTATTCTTAGCATGCCATTTCAGAATCTATCCGAGCGTTGGACGATCATTGCAAAGGCTTCTCTCGATTCTTCTTCTAATAGGGAATAATTGTTCTGCATTTGATAATCGGAAGTCCTTCACGACGAATGTTTTTATAACCATAGAACACTTGTTTTCTGTCCTACATCCCCTACTGCCCTCTATTTTTGCCTCTTTTTAAGGGATCAGTTGTTAATAGTTTATATCGACTTCCCC